TAGAGATTATTGCACCCTCAGCCATTTTAACGTGAAAAGTTTGGATCCGTCACTTCCAGCCAGGCTCTCAGGTCATAAACTGGAGTAAAGCAAAATGTCAACTCTGAACAGACATGCCACGCAACCGGCCCTCTTTTCAATATTATTAGCTTTCTGCAATCATCGTCTGACTCCATCTCGATCAAACGCAGCATCCGGTTTCTACAGGGGCGTTTGACTGACCGGCCACACAATAACCAAAAACAAAATCAAAGCTTCATGCACACATATGACATAAGTAAGAAACGGATGAAAAAGGCACAACCACGGCACAACTCTGCGCGGCAAACAACGGACAATGTCCCACGGGTCCCACGCAAGATCCCGCGTTTCTTCAGCGGCCTTGAACGGAATGAAAACATTACATTTCTTTTTTGGAGCTATTTGATGACGTCAAAAAATACAATACCCGTTTTAATGGTCAAAATCGAGACAATTACTCACAAAAATGTTTCCCTTTAAGCATTACAAATAAATACTTTTAAATATTTAAATGACATTGTTTTTTCAAACAAATCAATATTATTTGCTTACTTAAACGTCATATACAATGCTGAGATCACTACGGGGCTGTCTTAGAGTATAGCTGCACTGGCAACCTTTAGGCTAGACTCCAGGGGTCATTATACCAGAACAACATGATTCTACCAGCCAGTAGTTCATTTTTCTACTAGATTGGTGCTACGCTCAGCATTTAGGTGCCAGATTCAGAAAAAAGAGTAAGGCGTACCGATGAATAGGTGCCAGAAACAGCTAATTAAGGTCATTTTCCATGATTGGTGCTGGTATCCACCAAATAGGTGCTGAGGACCAATTTTGGGGCGAGTCAGCTTTTAGGTGCCAGAAATAGCTTTTCTGGGACGCAATTAAATGGCGTCCTTAAAACACTATTCGTTAAAATTGTGTTTTCCGTTTTTCTATTGAAAAACAAATTCCTTTTCCCTGACAATTGTGCATAAACCGAAGTAGTAAGTGCATAATTGTTAAAGAGAGACATTTGCGATTAGTGGTTATAAAGAAACGTGGACCATATTGGTTGACAATGTTTAGGTACCGGTCAGCATCAATTCAGTTCGCTCATCATAATATTCATGAGCATTGTGGACAATGCGGGGCTCAGGGTCTCCGCCGGTGACTTGCAAAAACAAACCGTGCAACGGCAGCGCCAGCGGTATTGTCCCTACATCCGGCAAGAAACCGCGCCGCTGGTCTGTTCTTTGCCGCCCACTCCTTGGATGGTTTCGGGGACGACTCTTCGCCGATCCGACACCCATTTCATACTGCAGCGAGCCGACAGTAGCCCACCTCGATAACCAATTCCTCCCGACAGCCAGCAGCCGCACACACACCAACGACATCGTGCATCGGTCGGTACTCACCATTCTCCTCCCGGGACGATTCGCCGCTGGTGCCGCCCAAAATCAGCAGAAACACAAACAGAAGCATCTTGATTCTCTTCATGGCGCCGGGGCACCGGGCATACCAGTCCCGCGACTGCTCAACTGAAATGTTGCTTTCCCGGACAGGAGGAACGTCCACAAGTTCAGCGAAGTCCAATCGTAGTCTCACTTAAGATGCTCGAACACCGATCGTAAAATCCAAAGTCCGCCTGTGTGGCACTGGCGACCGTGACCTGACCTGGGTCACCGGTGGCGCCGTCACCGTCCTCACTCTCAGACTCTCAGTCCTCCGTACCACTCGGCTCTCCCGTCCGTCCGTCCGTCCGTCGCCGGCACTGTCAGCGAGCCGCCGCTGGCGTTGCCCACCCCTCCAGCGCTGCTCCAGACTGCTGGCGCAGACCTCGCGGCGGCGCCGGCCGCCACTTCGACTTTCTCACGCTCCACGGCCACCGCCGAACCGGCAGCCTCAGCGCCAGTCTTAGTGGACACCTAGCGGCAGAACCCGTAACCTATGGTTTGACACAGTAACGCTTTAAAGCAGAGGGCGCTGTGTTTCATTCAAACTGCTCATCTGGGACCCTGGGGCAAAAGCTTCGCATCGAAAGATCAACGAAAGACAATGACAGGGAGTAAATATATACAAGTTTCTTATTGAGATAGCGGTAGGCACCTGTCAGTAATTTTGGGGTCTGCTGTCGAGCCAGGCGCGGCCTACCACTTGACAAAGACTACAGTTTACAATCATTGCATTTCTGCGCCCATTCAATGAAATTACGTGTTGGAAGTGATTAGAACAAGTTTGCAACTCATTGCAAAGGCCAGGGTATATTGAATTAGGGCAAAGGCAATCAAGTGATCGATCAGGGCTCATCAAAACAAATTGTTTGTGTTCAATACCATGAATGAATGAGGAATGAAGAATGAAAAATGAACTCGTCATTTGAAAATGAAAGGAAAATACATAGGGCCTGTTCCAGCGCTTCCAGAAACCTCCAGAAAGCTCTAGAATCCTCCAGAGAGCGTTCCAGCGCCTCCAGAAAGCTCCAGAAAGCTCTCGCCAAAGCTCCAGAGTCCAGAAACCTCCAGTAACCTCCAGAGAGTTGAGAGGTCCAAATTTCTCTGGAGGCTCTGGTCTACAATTATGGCGCACATGTGACAATCACGAATGTAAACAAAGAACTTTTGACTGATCATTTTACAACTTGAATGTAAAGAAAATTACATTGCTATAATTTAGTTAATCTTTTTTACTAAAATTGAAAACAAATTTTGCGTTTCAAGAGAGAACAATCGTCATTCTTTTGGTAACTATGACGCCAATCTCCAGAAATCTCCAGATTGCGTTCCAGTGCCTCCAGTGAAACCTCTGGTAGAGCCTCCAGTCAAGAATTTCTACTGGAGGCGCTGGAACAGGCCCTTACTTGACTTTGTGGCTTGTGCATAGTTTTGACGCTTTTATATCCTATTTTTAAAGTTAATTTATTGGGATGATACGTTGTTTTTTCAAAATAAATTTCGAAGTAATTTGTGCATTCAAATTATATTTTAATTATTGTTTGAATGCAAAAATCAACACAATGCAGTTTTAAATTAAAAATGACGTCATATTAGTCAGTTTTGCGATGTGTTCTCAGTTATGCAACTCCTTGGCGAGTGTCGAAGGGCAGTTGGGGCAGTTGAATGCGTTGAATGAGTTGAATGAGTAATTCCCGTAATTCCAAAGCATTAATTCTTCGGGGGAGTGTGCATTGTTTGTGAATAAATCAACGGCACGAGACTCTTCTACGACGGGTAGGTTCGGTAGGTTGTGACGGTTGTGGTAATCAAATGTAAATGAATGAGAGGATTATTTGCAGCGTCGCCCATAGGAACTGAAAAGTGTCCAGTCTAAATCAGTGCAAGTGCAACCGATGAGCTTGAGCGGTGAGCCAAGTTGTCTGTTGTCTCGCATTAGACCAATGCAAATTAAGTGCCACTACAACAAAGATGTAAATGCCCTTCCTGGCTACCTGGCCAATGACTATAGTCCGTTCTACATCAAGCTTGCAGTCGGAACTCGGAGTTTCTTTAGTTTGCTCCTCCGCTCAATAATTTGCATATTTGAATGTAAAAGTTGTATGGATAGAAATCATGCACTGCTTTCAGCAGGGCACTTTGGCCACAAGCTTAGCATGAAACAGACTGTAATGAGGCTTTTGATGTAGACTTCAGCGTTCAGGTGGTAGTGGTAAAGCCGGCATCACACTTATTTTGTGCAACCAAGGAGAGGTGCTTTAGGTTAGGCTGTAGGTTTAAGCTTTTAGGTGATAATCCTTAGGTTGTAGGTAAGGTTAGCCTTTAGGTTAGGTTGGTTCGGTTTGATTACAAAGCATCTCTGGGTATACTGCCTCTTCTTGGTAACAAAAAACAAGTGTGATGCCTGCTTTACAACTACCTACCCTTCAGGCTGGTCCTTATGTACCTATTAGAGAGTTACAAGTAGCTGGAGAACTTTGCTCATTGAAGAAAACATGCTGCCTCTGAAGTATAGACTCCAAACTAGAATTGAAAATGTTCACAAATTATAGGCAGGTGTAAGCAATTGACTCTGTAGTACAAACAGTTTTCTGGCTTGTGTTCCAATGTAAACTGACTTAAGAATAAGAGGCCTAGGATTTGGTGAGGAATTACATAATACATTTACAGATAAAATGGAGAACATCATCATGATCAGAAATCATGGTACTTTTTGGATTATTTGCGGACCTTCCTGATTCCTTCATTCTGCTTCATTCAACTGATTTACATGATAATAGCAATTAATGTTTTAACATGGACCTGAATATGATAGATGAAGGTTGGACAGTTGAAGCTTAGGTTTGACTGGTACATCAGAAATATTGATGATTTAGGTACTAATTACTCCTCAGTCCATGCATCTTCCCTATTGTTCATGAATTTTGCAGAATTTGACATCATTTGCCTAGGAACAATACTTATTACTTACCATGTGTTTCATTGGGTAATTTGGCAAAGAAAATAGCCCATTTGCTTACCTGATATCTTAAGAGGATAGTTATGAATAATGTACATTTTGTTCTTCAATTGGGTACCTACTATCAAGTATCAACTCATCCTTGTGCCTCTCCTACCACCACACCTTCATACAAATTACAAATCGATGCCTTTGATCCATGTGGTCCAGGTGATGGTAGCTCATAAGCTAATTATTCTCCTGCATTCAGTTATGTTTGCCTGGTGCCTTATGAACTGAGCTGCCCCTTTCTTCAACATTCATGTTAATGCTTAAGATGGCACCTGCCATGCTATATTTTAATGTCCTAGCCTCAGCCTAGCTGGTCAATAGTAATGCCCCAAAGTGTTGAAAAGGTAGAAAACTACCCTAAAAGATTGTATGAGTTGCACATGTGACTGGTGACAATGCACATACCTGCATTCCTATGTTTCTGTCCTTTTCACATGAGTTGAGAAGTGATACTAGGCATTTACAATTTACTTTTTACTCTGCTTTATACCATCGTAGAACCACACCTAAACCACTATAGAAAATATGTTACCAGTGTGTTGTCTACCTCTTTATATCAACCAACCAATGAACATGGGATGAAGCACCTCAACCATAACACGTCACACGTTTTCCTTCACAGCTAGTTTTCTCCGCCCTGGAAGTGCGCTGACGGACGCCTGGTTCTCTCCGCCCTGGAAGTGCGTTGACGGACGCGTGGTTTTCTCCGCCCTGGAAGTGCGCTGACGGACGGAGACCATGCCGGCCGACGTGGAGTGCCCGGCCACGCCGCCGGAGCTACCCCGGGAGCCGACACCCACGCGCGTGAAGTGTTCGCCCGTGCGCGAGGGGAGCAGCTCTCCGGGCCGGGCCTCGCCCGACTCAGCCTGCCCCATCTGCCTGGGAAAGCTGGACAACAAGGCGTTCTCAGACGGGTGCATGCACCAGTTCTGCTTCACGTGTATCGTCGAGTGGTCCAAGGTGAGGTTGGGCTAGACTCGGTGTCCGTGCGTGTCGTAACTTGTAACTTGTAAGGTTCAAGTTCTCAAACAAAATGATCAAATACTGGAATGTAGGCCGGCATGACCGTGTCATGTTGGGACAGGACTTCTGCAGCGAACTGGTGATCCCTGCTTTTTTCGTGGGCTTTGAACTTTTCAGGTCCCTTCTTCCAGTTTTGAAATCCCATTGATGTGAAAGCCGCTTCAGAATGGTAGCTGGCTTTCGCACCTGTTAGTCTCAGTTGAACTGCCTTCATGCAGGTGAAGCAGAACACCTTCTTCGTCTCTGGGCATACGTGAATCCACGGGTACTCCGAGTACCACGAGGCTTGGAATCTCCTTGTACACTGGGCCTTGTTTGAGCTGACATGCTCTGGTATGTCACGAGGATTTGGCTGATTTGGGGAAGTCAGTTCCAGAATGTCTCCCATTCCAGGTTCAGCTTGTGAGTTGGTTTGGTGGTCGCTTGTTCCGGGCACCGGTTGGTCTCTAATGATCGAAACACCGCTGTGCCCGGCGCCGGAGTTCTGAGCAGCACCGCTGTGCCCGGGGCCGGAGTCCTGAGCAGCACCAGCACCGCTGTGCCCGGGGCCGGAGTTCTGAGCAGCACCGCTGTGCCCGGGGCCGGAGTCCTGTGCAGCACCGCTGTGCCCGGGGCCGGAGTCCTGTGGAGCACCGCTGTACCCGGCGCCGGAGTCCTGTGCAGCACCGCTGTGCCCGGGGCCGGAGTCCTGTGCAGCACCGCTGTGCCCGGGGCCGGAGTCCTGTGCAGCACCGCTGTGCCCGGGGCCGGAGTCCTGAGCAGCACCAGCACCGCTGTGCCCGGGGCCGGAGTCCTGAGCAGCACCAGCACCGCTGTGCCCGGGGCCGGAGTCCTGAGTAGCACCGCTGTGCCCGGGGCCGGAGTCCTGTGCAGCACCGCTGTGCCCGGGGCCGGAGTCCTGTGCAGCACCGCTGTGCCCGGGGCCGGAGTCCTGTGCAGCACCGCTGTGCCCGGGGCCGGAGTCCTGTGCAGCACCAGCACCGCTGTGCCCGGGGCCGGAGTCCTGAGCAGCACCGCTGTGCCCGGTGCCGGAGTCCTGAGCAGCACCAGTACCGCTGTGCCCGGGGCCGGAGTCCTGTGCAGCACCGCTGTGCCCGGGGCCGGAGTCCTGTGCAGCACCGCTGTGCCCGGGGCCGGAGTCCTGAGCAGCACCAGCACCGCTGTGCCCGGGGCCGGAGTCCTGAGTAGCACCGCTGTGCCCGGGGCCGGAGTCCTGTGCAGCACCGCTGTGCCCGGGGCCGGAGTCCTGTGCAGCACCGCTGTGCCCGGGGCCGGAGTCGCTGCCGCCGCCATCCTCGGAGCACCTGCCACCTCGCAGGTGGCGACACGTGCACCACCGCAGTGTTTCGGAGTTGGAGTCGTTGCTGTCGTTGCTGCCCTTATCCTCGATGCACGTGTCGGTTACAGGACTGGTTAGGGCGGTGAATGTGCTGACGGGCGCTGGATCGTCGAGGTCACCTTCACTCCCACCCGCTCCATGTGATGTGTCCGGATCAGGCTCAGGGTTTGACCTAGGGAGGAGGAAAGAGGAATGCCATGTTATGAGGCCTTGGAGGATTCAGCCGTCGATTTGGGGACACCTGCCATTCCACTGCATTAGATAATCTGAAAAAAAGCACTGGAAAGCCCATACAATTTCCTTTCCGTGAAAATCCTCAGACTGGAGACTGGATTTTTTTCGCGAATAACTTTTTGAGTTTCAAAGATCAGAGAAAAGAATTTACACCATCGTATCTGTTTCGTCGAGACGAATCGAAAGCTATATCGGATGACCTCAAAAGGTCAATATCGGCCTTCACCTGAGGTCAAGGTCATTAAGTGACCTCGATAGGTCAGTTTGCACATCAGAAGACTCGCCAGGTCTAGACGAACACTTTTATGCCTCCCAAAGTCTCTAGATCAATTCTACCGAAAGTTATTTGCCAAAAACCGTAAAGAGCCTATGACGTCATCATATGACCTGAAGTGATCTTACAAGGGGTCATTGATGGAAAATTACACCGGGATCATCAATAGGAACCTAATCTACCATGATCCTGAACTAAATGAACTGATCTGATGCGTTTTAGCGGCAGATGGCGTTTCTCCCATAAACTCGTAATGGGCATGGCCAGGTCGGGAAACTGACCTGACCTTAGGTTACACGTATCAAAAATCTGAGATATACAAGTTTAGCTATCTGACCCCTGACAGATATCACAAAGTTTGAAGTTGATGAGATTATACAAAAACTGCAACTTGAGCGCAGCTTCAAACTTTTTCGGAGGTCGGGTCACTCTTTGAGGCTTGGTGACCTGACCTTGACATGACCTGGAGCTAAAATTTTTACAAAATGTGGGGAAAACATGCCCCACTAGCAATGCGAAATTTGGCGGCGCTACGCGGCACCCTTTTTGCGCCATCGGCAAAAAAAACCTGAGGGGGGAGGGCGGAAATCAGCCCTCGGGCACGCGCGGGTTAACTGTTTTATAATTAATCCACAATTATTTGTACAGTCTGACCCACCTGCACGAAGACTGCGAGAAAAAATTGGTGAGCTTATGGTGCTTATCCTGCTCCTTCCTGAGCTCTTCGAGGCGTTTTCGCTTCCTTTTTTCATTACCGGACAAAGATTTTGACCTCTTCTGACCAGGTTTCCCTGGCCAGGCTTTCTTCATGATTGGATTTCAAACGTAGATTTTAGGCAGTACCTAACGACAGCAAGCAAAAATCACACTCAATGCACAAATACACGTTCGACGACGAGATTTCCTTCGTGCGTGTCAAGCGCGTAACGGCTGCGAGCGTTTGGTTTCCTGCTATGGTTCCTTGCAAAACATGTTCTGCTGCTTCGTAATGGAACTTCGTGCGCCAAAAAAGCGAGCGTCAGTAAGAGCTGCCATATGACGGTAAGTGGCTGCCACAATACAAAAAAACTTCGTCGGTGTCTCAGGTACCTATCAAACATAGGTAAACGACCGGTGCGAGCGACTTTAGCGAGTGTCATTTGAGCGAACGTCATTTGAGCGAACCATTTTCAGCGAATGGCAATTCAGCGATTATCAAGTTCAGCGATTATCAAATATAGCGATTATCAATTTTAGCGAAAGCTATGTTTCAGCGACATCTATTTCGTCGACTACAATTTGAGCGACTGCCATGTTCAGCGAAACACTTCATCGTCCTGTAACGTTCTTTTTTTGCGAGCGTATACGCGCGAATGTTTTCGGAATATCTCATGGTTATCCGGAACTGGATGGCGAATGTCACGTCCAAAGACCTCAGACATTGAGCTCCAAATGTAATGCTACATTTCTAAACAATTCCAACGGTTCAATTTCACCCCCTGCTCTTTATATAATTTAACAAATAGAATAGTTATATTAAGTTTTGTCCAGACGGTACCTACTCATAGGCGGCGGAACGAAGGGGGGGGGGGTACCGGGGCACCGTGCCCCCCTTGATTTTGGCATTTTAACATTAGCCCTATGGGCGTTGCATGCAGAGAATGAGACCAAAAGTCGGCGGTGCCCCCCTTAATTGAAGGTGTTCCGCCGCTACTGAACGGTAGCCAATCCATTGTATTTAATTTTGTCTTTACCTCTGGTGGATTACAAACTGTTAGGTGTTATCATGACGTATGATATACCTAAAACAAAAATTTAAAAACTAAACGTTGCAAGATCAATGATTTAACGTTGCGAAATGAGGCCTGATATTTTTGTGGTTTCAGGTTTCCAACAAGATTACTAGAACAAGATAACAGATTTTCAAGCTTTAAAACATTTTTTTTTTTGTCGCGCGCAGCTTGAAGCATGACACAAAGCAAACGGGTATTCAAAGGGCAAGAATTTCCGAAAAGTAGAAATGATTGACTTTCGTCGCGTTCGGTTTCGCTGTAACTGTATTCGCTCAATTGGTCTCCCATTGACCACCATATATTTGCTCAATCTGGTTTCGCTGATTCTGGTCCTCGCTTACGTTGATAATCACTGTGATTGAATTCGCCGACTTGACAATCGCTGAAAAAGTCAATCGCTTAAATTGATAATCGCTGAAAATGTTTCGCTCAAATGTCGTTCGCTGAAATGACGCTCGCTCAGGTGTCGCAGAACCGTAAACGACATGTCAGACCACTTTACTCGACGAATAGTTTGGAGAATGGACAGCTGACGCTCATGGGCGGATCTGGGGGAGGGGGGCAGTCGGGACATGGCCCCCCAAAACCCCAAAATTTGAGCAAAATGGACGCATTTCGCCGTGTAAAAGATGATTTTATACGCATCAGTGGCTCGTAAGCCGTCAAAATCCGAGTTTTTTTTATCAGATTTTCTGAACTTGCCCCAAACCCAAGTTCCCCCCCAAACACACACCAGGCGCGGATACAAGGGGGGGGGGCCATGGGGGCCATGGCCCCCCCCCCCTTGGCCGATTTTTTTCAAAAATAAAATAAAAAGTTAAAAAGTTAAAAAGCTGAAAAGGGGGCCTCCCGAAAATAAAGTGGCCGAAATCCGATGAGTTTTTTTTTAACCTACCCACTTAGTTATTTCTTAGAAGACTAGCTGAGAAGACTTCTTTGTTAGAAGATTGGTAAAGCTTTTCATAACTTGGAGGTCTCTTATACTCACAGAGATGACCACTTTTACAGGGCCTCCTAACCTGCACAGAGGGCCTCCAAGCCTGCACAGATGTTGAGATGTTGCCTGAACAGCTAGATAAGCTCAATAGACGCAGTTTTTTTTGGGGGGGGGGGCCCAACAAGTGGGAAGATGGGGCCTCCAACAGGTGGGATTATGGGGGGCCTCCTGGTTTCTAATGGCCCCTCCCTTGGAGATTTTCTGGATCCGCCCCTGACACACACACACACACACACAAAATCTGTCTCTATACCAGAGACTTCTGAGACCTGGTAGGGGCTCTCTGAGGTCAAGGTATGGTATAGGCTAGGCTCTGAGGCTCTGAGGCCAAGGCCTCGTCCTCTGATACTGATATGGACCTTTTGGACCTTGGGTCTATGCCGCATAGACCCTAAGAGACCTCGGAAGTCCCATATTAGGCCACAAAGTGCCTATACCAGGCTTCAGAAGGCCTGAAATTGGCCTTCTGAGGTCTTGTAGGTACCCTCTGCGGACTGGTCTGGGCCTTCGGAAACCTGTCAGGTCTCCGTTAAGTATATTATGAACCTTCTGAGGCCTAGTAGAGGCCTCAAAAACCTGGCTTGGCCCCTTGAGGCCTGGTATGGGCCTTCTGAAGCCTGGTTTGGGCCCCTGAGGCCTGATATGAGCCTCTTGATGTTCAGTAGATCCTCAGTTTGGCATGACCATTTGAGCCCGGTAAAGGCCCTTTCATGACCGGTAAGGACCCTCATAGACTTCATATGGGCCTTTTATACTTCTAAGCACTAGGGGCTTCTGAGGCCTGGTATAGACCCTCTCAGACATTCTAAGGACCATACCAGAGCTTTTAATGGCCCTCTCAGCACTGTTGTTGGCCCTGTAATGACTGGTATGGACCCTCTCAGGCATGATACGGGCCCTCCCAGTTCTTGCAAGGGCCCTCTCAGTACTGCTGCAGGCCCTTGCATGAGTGGTATGGGCCTTCTCAGGTATGGTATGGGCCCTCTTAGTCATTGCAAAAGTCCTCTCAGTACTGATGGGGGCCCTTCGATGATTGATATTGACTGACATAACCCTCAGTAATATGTCACGGTACGGGCCCCCACATAACTTGTGATGGCCCCCTCAGTACTGTTATGGGCCCTACTGTGGGCCCTCTCAGTACTGATGTGGGCCCTATCACGGCTGGTACGGGCCCTCTCAGGCATTTTACAGGCTCTTGCACTCCTTCTAAGGGCCCTTTCAGCACCGCTGCGGGCCCTGCCATGACTGCTATGGGCCCTCTCCGGCTTCTCAGACATAATATGGTACCTCCCAGACCTTGCCTGGGCCCTTTCATATTTTGAATGGGCCCTCTCAGACAGGGCATGGGCCCTCTTTACCCCGGGCACTTTCTAGTTTCTACAGCCCGGGAAGAAAGGACAGGGCCACAATACCCAAGATACAAAAATAAATGATTTTGTTTCACGTTGTTTTGCTAAATTGGGCCCTTTTCCAAAAACATAGGCCAAAGTCCGAGAGTTTTATCTTCGCGGCGGCACCTTGAGAAGGCCCCCTTTGGCTTGATTCCCCACTCCTGAAGTCATTTCTACAGTCTGCCCAGAAGGCTTCTTTCTGCACAGCCAGAGAGCATTCCGTCCATAACTTGACCTGCTGGCTGAAAGAGAGGGCCCCAGTGTTCAGAGTTGGGGGGGCGGCTGCCCCCCCTGCCCCCCCTGTGGCGCCGTCCCTGAATGAATCATTAGTGCTTTGAGGTTTATGGTTAAGGTTTTGAGGTTTTGGCTCAAGGTATTCAGGTTTATTATGCGACGTGGAATATTTGTTTATCTTAGGGGCTTTCGACGTTTTTCTTTTCCCGCTTCAGTTCGTTTTTTATCGCTTTATTTTTAGTAAGTACTTATTAAGGTTGATTTCAGTCGCTTTATGTTCTTGCTTCATGTGTGTCTGTTCTAACACCTGTCTGACCTACCCCCTCTGTTCTGACACCTTGCTGACTTCCTCTGCAGGTGCGCGCGGTTTGTCCGCTCTGCAAGCAGGGCTTCACGTCCATCATCCACAATGTGCGCTCCGAGATCGACTATGATCGGTACCGTTTGCCGCCGCCGCCGGCCGCCGAGCCGCAGAACCCGTACATCTTCCAGCCCGGGTAGGTACGGGGACAATGGTGGGTAAGCGTGAGGCGGGCATGACGCCCCGAGCCGCAGAGCCCCTACATCTTCCAGCCCGGGTACGTTACTCGCAGTCAACTTCTGGTGTCACTCTTTTGACTTTCGTGCTCCGATACTTTTTTATGTGTGATGTAGTGCCGCTTCTGTGAATGATCACCGTGCCAAATCCATCAGCTATATGCACCCTATCAATCAATCAATCCACGTGCTCTGCCGTTTTTCCACCGTGTGTACGTAAATGTCATTTAATGTCCCCGTCATCTGTGTGAGAGCGTTGTACAGTATAGATTCTCCATACATCCTGTCCTCAGCTGTGTCTCGCCGTACGTTTTTCGTATGAACCCCGCTCTACATCGCCCTGCCGGCGTGTGAGCCTCACCCGGCCAGGCTGCGCTCAGAGCTACATTAGCGTCCGACGGCGCGTGGTCACACCGACCACGGGCCGCCGGCGGAGACGTGACGCGGGGTGGCGTCCCCGGCAGCACGGGGAGACGCCTTTGGAACGCCGTCTCACAAATACCTGCAGCTGTCGCTAACTGACTTTTTTACTGACTTTAACTGACTAACTGACTAGCTTGTGTTGTTTTGTAACATGCCTGCAGTGTTGAATGGTAGGGTAGTTCGTTTGAATATGTTGTTATGCGGTGGGATGTTTGGGTTGAATGTGAAGTTGTTTTGCAAGGAAGGATGGTATCTTGCCTGCTGTTGTTAGGTAGGCCGGTTCCCCTGCTGATACCTCCTTCTGACCCATACCTACCTACCTTACTGGCCTTTCTACCTTTCTGGCCCGTGACCTGACCCCTGTCTCCGGCTGACCCCAGTCTCCACCAGACCCGCCGCCTGACCCGCGCCGCCGCCGACAGGGACGGTCCCGAGCTGCGCTCGCGCTGGCTGCAGATGCGCCGTCAGATGTACCGTCACCGGTCGCGCGTGCTGCCCATGCTGTGGCCGGTGCCCGAGGGACACGACTACCACCTGCCGGCGGCGCCGGCGCGGCCACGGCCGCCCACCCGGCCCCGACTGACCTCCGAGTCGCGCCGACACATCTACGGCTCGGACATGTGGGCCCGGCCGACGGCCGACGAGCTGACCGGCCGCTACCGCGAGACGGGGCCCGATTTCTACAGGTGAGACGCGCCGCGCGGGGATACGGGGGTCCTTCACCTATGTAAGGTTTGGGTTGGAACAGAAAACGGTGACTGACTTCTGAACTGTTGGTCATTGTCATTATTGTTTTTGATGTATTAGCCTTTGTCTTCACAATACTGAACTATGCAATTTCCTGAAGAGTAGATGGGATTAGATCATTACACTACTTCCAATATTATGCCTGTATAGTTTCCTCCTTGTACGGCTACCTTATCATCTCATCCACTCTAGCTCAGTGCTGCTGAGTTGTGCTCCCATTGGTAGCCTCACAAGTTAAGAGGATGTATGCGCTTTCGTTTCTCACATTAACACTGTTCTTCGTTCCGCCGCAGGAACAACCCAGCCTGCACGCACCGCCTGGTGCCGTGGCTGAACCGAGAGCTGAACGCCGTGCTGGACAGCCCCGCCCTGCTGGCGCACGTCATGGAGCACGTGATGCAGCTCATCACCCGCCTCCACATCCTCAGCCCCGAGTTTCGAGCCCACCTGGAGCCCTACATGAGCCCGTGGACGGAGCACTTTGTGCACGAGTTCTACTGCTTCGCGCGCTCGCCGTACGATATGGTCGGCTACGATCTGAACGTGCAGTACCGCCAGGGCCGGCCCGACTCGCCTCCCATGCAGGTGATGGCCAGTAGCGGCGACAGCGACTCCGGCAGTGACAGTGACATTCGCGTGCTGACGCCACCGACACAGCCGTCGACGCCGATTCGGACGGAGCGGCTGTCGTCCCCGGAGCCGGGGCCGAGTGGCAGCGCTGGGCGGGCCGACCGGGGTGTCTCGGCCGCACTCGGCCGAGTCAGAGCGTTCCTGGCGAAGGCGCGCGCCGCCGAGAGCGACTCTGACTCGGATATGGACTCAGATGTGGGAGCCGGTGGCGGTGGGGGCTCAGACTCGGCGGTGGAAGTGGTAGAGGTGCTTCCTCCGCGCAGCCAGCGGACACCGGTCATCGTGACGCTCTCATCGGACGAGGAGGCGGCCCCGCCAGCGTCTGCCCCGCCAGCAACTACCGAGGCGACAGAGTCGGAACGGCGTCGCACCGACCGCCAAGCGCGCCGGACGGCGGCGACGACCGACGGACAGCGCCAGAAGAGCCGAGGAACGGCTGAGAAACGAACCCGCTCCGACGGTGACAGCAACAAACGCCGGCGGGGGGAGGTGACGGAGAAGAATGGAGGTGTGCATACTGCACACAAACGGAGAGAGAAGAGACCGAACCGAGAGGCAGACAGAGCGGAGCGACGAGCTAAGGGAGCGGAACAGCGCGGGGCGTCACAGTCGAGTCGAAGCAGCTCGAGATCCAAGTCGAGTAAGACGACTGCTAGCTCGTTTGGCGGCAAGAGTAGCTCTATCTCTATGCCGACAGCCGCAAGTTTGGCGACATCCAGCGATGCAAGCTGGAGGCCGACGGATAGTGAGAGAAGTTCGGTAAATAGCGCTCTGAGCTCGAGGGTTAGTGACAGAGTAACCGTTTCCAGTGACAGAACTAGCATTGACGTTGTCGGAGGAACGACCGACAGATCCAGTCTACTTTCAATCTCTAGCGGAAAAAGCACATCGGCATCTGCTGGAGCGATTGGCGAAAACTGTTCGAAGCCGGGAGATAAATCGAGTGACAAGAGCCATAAATCCAAATCCAGTGATAAAAGTAGCAAAAGTTCGAAAACAAGTGACAGAAGCCACAAGTCGAAATCCAGCGACAAAAGTCACAAATCAAAATCCAGTGATAAAAGTCACAAATCGAGATCCAGCGACAAGTCGAGTCACAAGTCAAAATCCAGCGACAAGTCAAGCCACAAGTCCAAACATCGTGACAAATCGCACAAATCTAAATCCAGTGACAAGCACCGTTCTTCCAGCAGAAAATCTGACAAGGGGGATGAGAAGCGCGACTCTGACGGTCGTCGTCACGGGCGTCGCTCGCGGGACGACGCGCGGAGCCAGAAGCGCCGTCGACTGGTGGATAGCGACTCGTCGGACTGTCTGCTCTCGCCCGGCTCGCCGCAGCCTTCCACCTCCTCCGGGGTGACGGACCGGTCCCGTCAGTTTCACCGGATTGTGCCCGCCGTCACCTCCTCCAGTGACGCCGCTCAGAGCAGCTCGTCGAGTGTGGTGGGCGCGCGGCCCGTCCGCTGCCGCCGCCTCTCGGACTCGGCCTCCGAGGGGAGCAGCGCGGCTGACCGCCGGCCGGCTGCGGCGCCCAGTGACAGTGAGGAGGACGTTGGCGCGCGGCGACCGGCGGTGCGCAGTGCCGTGGTCCGCGCCCGCAGAGCTGTGCGCAGTGAGGACAGTGACTCGAGTGACTGGTAATTGACGCGAGACAGACACCATTCGGACACGAGGAGCCAACCTGTGTCCGCCAGCTGCCTCTCGCCAAGTGATTTATTGTTCAAATGACCCAGAGTTTCACAGAAAGGTTCTCGATTGTGCAAAAACGTTATCTTCTAACGTTGAGTGTGAGTGTGTCCATGTCCGAAAGGGTACGATATGTGACCTACGATATTTTCAGTGCAGCCTATACTTGTAGTTGGGTGTTGTTGACTCCAGGGTTCGCTGGCTGTGGGACATACCCGTGACATTACCCTGCAACTCTCGCAGTACCGCGGATGGCTAGTGACCACACGCGACCGCCTGTGCTGCTGACGAGTGACGCTCAAGATATCTGCCAATGGGGTTGATGATGTTTGGAGTGCGTGGTTGTGACGCGAGAGTGCTGACTGGTGCCGCTGAGTCCTTCACCGTTCCCTCGGGGGAGTTATCGAAAACGGAATGAGGATGTATAAGATGGCAAGATGAATTAAATACACGAATAACAGGGAGGGATTGACTTTGCTTTTCAGGGGTTTGGGGGCGAGTTGACAGAAAGGTACAGGTCTCGCGGGTTTTAGCGGTAGGTTTTGCACCTAGATTTTTTTTTGTGTACTGCAGGCTATATCTTCGTCGTCTTAAGCTTTTAAGTGTTGAAGATGCGATCGACTTGTTGGTTCACAAGCCGGTAATGATCGTGTAAAATGGCTTCATCGTAGATCGATTAGTTTCTGAGATATAACCGGAAATGTAAAAGTGCAAAACCTACCGCTTAATCTCGCGAGAGCCGTACATATAAAACAGCAAGATGAATGAAATAACGAATAGCGGGTACGAATTCACTGCTTTTCCTTTGAGTTTGGGGCGCGGCGTTGACAGCAATGTGTGCTCATGCTGAATCTCGCTCAGCTAATGGCACGGATACAGGAGAGGCTGGTCTTCAAACTGAAGAAGAGTTATAATATGCAAGGAAGAGTTAGTTTTAAACGTAATATCAGGTTAACCTGATAGCCTTGAATGTTTTTCATGAACAAAAATGACGCATTCTAAACACCTCAGTCTATTTTCAACCAACAACAAAGTAATTCATCACCGGCCATCAACGTTGCCGCGGCAGTCAGTGTTTCACCGCACTTGCTGCACACTCGGCAAGTTATGGAGCCGATAATTATCGGCTCCAGAGGGATCGGAGGTTGCATTGTAATGCATCCTCCCATCCCACTTTTCGCACATAGAAGCGTGCATCGATATTCATTCACCTTTTGTACAACACACAACAGTAATATTTCCAGTCACCATCAGCATATTCACAAAACGTTACCCACCTGCACTATTGTTATACGTCGTATCAACATATCAAACAAGTCACTTATCTTCATTAGGCTCTTCATCTCAATAGCACATTGGCGTCCAGCCTGAAGGCAGTATCTGGTATGGACGGCCACCCACGTCCCACACGGCACCCAAGAGATAAGGGTGACACCTCGGCCCTTCAGGGCCGGATACCTGCATATCGCTGGTCACTGTAGCAGGAAGGGTGCTAACGCCTCCACTCCCCAGTTCATCAGGAGCGACATAGATTCCATCGTGCAGTTCCAGCTCCAACCATCACGTAAAGTGGAATCCCTCGGCGTTAAACGCCTGTAGCAGACTGAAACGGGGTGCAGAAAACGTCAGCGAGCCCGCACAAGATGACAAGAAAAATACGTCAGGGAGCAAAAAGAAACACACGCATCATGTCTAGGATAACTGACAAAACATCGCACAAACACGATTCATTCACAGTGTGAATTTGCTCTCAGGTCAAAAGCGTTAGTGGGTCTACTCGTGTTCCACTTCAGAGCGCGTCTCACCCGAGGAAGTCGTCCATGTCCATGTGCCGAGCCCGCTTCTCCATGAAGCCGCCGTTGGTGAGGATCTGCTCCACAGCCTGCTTGACGTCGAATCCCTCTGGGACCGGCTGCCGGACGACCAGTACACAACCGGTTAGAGGCTAGAGCAGCAGTAAAGAAACGCAGAAACACAGAAACTGGACGAGGGGCATAAGCTTAACAACTATTAAATTTGGGTGCACACAAAACTACAGACTGCGATAATAACCAACGACAGTATATAACGTCAGCTCATGAGCTATGCCAGTTTCAACAAAACCTCTTTGAATAAACTCCGGTGGCTTACGAAATCATCCAAATCAATGCACTCGGTAAGAAACCTATCAGAGAAAGAGGGGTGCCTGCACTACGAAGTACGGTGCTCATCGGCGTGGAAAGCTGTTACAGCATGTCACCGACCTTGTTGTTGACGGAGCACCATGTGGTATAGTTTTTCTCCAGCATCTGGGTGACGGTGGCCAGTCGGAACGCAGCGCCCACCGTCTTGTGTTTTCGCACAAACACCACTCGCACCAGGCCGTCCCACTCCTTGAAGTTGATGGGCGGCGGCGGATTGCGCGGCTCCAGCCGAATCACACTCGACTCCACCTTGGGAGGCGGACGGAAGTTGTTCTTGCCAATCTGTTGGAGTTAGGACGGGGTTAGTGAGAAGAAACGGGACGGGTAAGAGCCGACAAGATGAGTGAACATTCGGGAATTTATCGGCCTAATATTAACAACAATAAACGAACTTTATACGTTTCCACGAAACTAATAAAAACCGAGACTTTCTTAAAAGTTTTCACCGTAACAAATACAATCGGACCATGCAATACACGAGGAAAATCTAAAAATATAACTTCTTTCGAGCCGAACGCATCATGCGACCTTAATAATCCCACCACAGTCGTCTCGAGTCTCACAGCAGTGCACACCAGCACCCACCGAATACGAGAATACTCGTATATACACCAAACACCTCACCTTCATGATGTGGTCGACCCTGGCCAGCAGCTGAGTGTTGACCGAGAGGCGACAGTAGAGCTTGTCCCCGGGCGGCGCCACCAGCCGCTGCGCAAACTCCCGCTGGAACATCAGAATGGCGCAGCGGAAGAACGGCCGGTGCAGCAACAGCTTGAACACGAACGGAGACGAGATCTGGTACGGCAGGTTAGCCACGCACACGTCGAAGAACGGCAGCTCGCTCTTGAGCACGTCTCCGACGATGATCTGCAGCTTCTGCTGGAGGGGTGTGCCTTGGACACGCTTCTGAAGCTCGGCCACCATCCTGAGGACATAGGGTGTGGATTGTGAGCGTTTGAGCTCCTTTAAGAGCTGTGAACTGAAGCACACAGAATAGACACACAGCACAGAATGAAATGCAGAGTTGCCACATATGTATTTGCAATTACAGTCAAATGCTCGGGCTATTCAGTATCCATCTTAAGGAAAACTATCTGCTATTGCAAGGTCGGGCTCAAAGTACTGAATACTTACTACTCACTCACCCCTAAAAATACAGGTTCCTCTAGATCAAGCTCCCTTCAGTATTCAAGCTTTTAAGAGAGGCTTCTAAACAAAAAGCAAGTACCAGGATGGCAATGCTCAGCAGTTACCTTGGATCCACTTCACATGCAATGACCTTCTTCACTTTTTCCAGCAGTTTGACAGTCATATTTCCAGTTCCAGGACCCACTTCCAGCACAACATCTGTTGACCTCAGGGCTGCCTTATCAACCATACTTTGGATGATCAACGGGTTCTTCAAAATATGCTGACCTAGGTCCGTGTTGAACATCAAACCTGAAACAAAATTGCAACATAAGTTAGGTACTTGTAAAATTGATGTGCTTGCAAGATTGCCTTGTTATAGGTTTTCGCCCTTTTCAAAAATTTCCATTAACTATCATGACAGCTAGCGAGCACCCAGACTGGAAAACATCCATCCATACACACACCCGGTACACTACGTCGGACGCCCGTGAGACCCTCTTTTGCATGATTTGCGCCGAAAATTGGGTGCCTATTAGTGCCAAAAATCAAGGCACGTTTATATAAAGCACATGTGCACATCTACCGATCAAGGCTATATCTACCAGACAGAGTGTTCCGGGGCCTTTGACGCTCTCCCATGTTTGAGCGTCCGAACAAGTTTTTAATTTCCACGGAAACCCAATACCTCAATACGCCTGGCGCACTGTAGCGTCGTGCCGTGAAACAAGGCTGGAGCAGGAAGTTCCGGGGCCACAAAAATCGGCGGAGCGGTGTGTTCGAGGCTGGCGGAAGCCAGCGAGGGCCGGGGAGAGGAACTGCACGTGCTCCGGCACATCAGCTTCTTTTCGGCACACGACGCAGAGCACCGCGGGGCACCGCTTGCCTGGGCACTGCTGGCACGTCGCGGAGTGGAGACAGCCGATTCGGTGCACGTACTGGAGCGAGCAACCCCAGTGGCCCGCCCTCATCTGGTGCACCGTAACGGCGTCCTCTCGGTCCTCTCCGGGGATAGGGAGCGGCGGCGTGCTCCCGAGGAGTGGCGAGTGGCTTGAATAGTGACTTGGACCAGTTGTCCCGCCCTGGTCAGCGAGCAGGCGTTTGAGGGCAGGGCAGCCGCTTGTTTCGCCAGGTCGTCCGCGTACTCATTCCCCTGGATACCGCAGTGGGCAGGAACCCACTGCAGTCTTACTTAATGATGCTTGGCGATATTCAACAAGGTCTTTCATGCCTATCTCTATGCCAAGGGTTGTGAGGTCTCTGGGTGGGGACGTCTCGTCCCAATACCTCTCCAGAGCCGCCAGCAGGGCGCAGGGAGTATCTACTGCTAGACTGACCAGCGTGCCGACCAAATTCAGAGACCATCTTTCACCCAAGAATTATGCGGCCGCATAATGCGCCAAAAAAATCAGCCGCTGCCATACGCTGAATTTGGCGCATAAGTTATGCCAGACATGCACTGATATTTTTGGCGCAATTCCGCCACTATCCCGGACATACCCGGCATAACATGTATTTTTTCCAGTCTGGGTGAGCACTATGCGGATAAACGTACAAACTACTAATATTTTCCTTTTAAATTCATAATGGATTTAGTAATACGATAAGCAATCAAACAAAATTAACGATTATTAATTTCGACATTTGTCTCAACGTATTGCAGCTCAAGCTGTCACAGACCGAGACTGTAGTGATAGGGGTAGGCAGGTACCTACCTACCTATACCCACTTGACACTTACCTTGTTGCTGTACTTCTTTGTGAACTCGTGACTTCTTCTCTCCTTTTACTTTAGGCATGACTGCAGATGTCTGCTTCCAATGGGACCAGACAGAAGATAACAGATATTTTTAGAAGAAATCCAAAAAGCGGAACGCCTCTCGCTGTGCCACCCCCTTTCGTGTAATGCATGTAACAAGGCCCTATATACCAGGTAGGGTCGTCCGGCGATTCTACCTTTTCGTGACGTCAGCTCGTGACGTCATTTGGAGTCAAGTCTCGAAGCCCCGTTCAATCCCCATATAAATGAGCGATTTTCGAAGCACTGTAGAATGAAGTCTGCACAAGATATATCAAACCTAAGTATCTTATCTGAAAGAGCAGACAATTTTCTACAAGTTATCTATTACGTGTTTTTCGCTAAATCTTTTGCTTTTTTCACAAAAGCGTAAAATGTCCCCCCATGTCTCCGCAGCCTCCCTGCCGCCGGCCGCCGCGCGGTCGCGGTAGTGTAGTGGTTAGCGTGCCCGCGCAGTATTCCAAAGGTCCCGAGTTCGAATCTATGCGGTGCGGAACTTTAATTGCAATTCCAAGCTGAATATACGCACATCCATAATAAATTATTATTCGTATAGCTAAACTGTCACCAAGCTATCCATATAAATTGACTTCACCCAAAATATCGGCAAGATTCTATTAAAATATAAATTCAAATATGGCGGCTTGGACTGCCGCGTGCGTTAGGCTCCGCCCATAGCTCCGCCCACATGCGTGACGTCATTCGTGTTAGTGGACACGCAGAGAGATAGGGGACGACATGGGCCTGGCATGTAATGCACGTACAGTGGATCTAGTAAGGATCTCCAGACGTTACTAGATGGCGTTGAGCCTCAGTCGAGTCCATGTCAAATTCAAGGGGAGGTCAGTACCGAGCTGGGTCCGATGGGGAGGAGGGCGGGGGGGGGGGAGCGGTTCGCGAGGTCACGGTGCGGGTGACCTGTCAAACAGCCCCGGCGCAGCTGGGCGCTGCCGCAGGCAATTGACACACTCCAGTGTTGTTCCATATCGAGGTGGTGGGCCGGCCGGCCGGTTAGCTTGGCTGCTTGGAAGGAAAGGATAATGAGGCATGTGTTTGCTGTGGCCGGCTCATCTACTGGCAACTATGATGAACCCAAAGTAATGCAAATATGATGTTGGTAATGCAGCTGGCAATGGTATGCTAGCGAATACTCCGAGCGCCCGGTAGCTAAGGATTAACATTATTTAGGTATGTCTCCTGAAATTTTCATTGAATATAATTCAAGCACTAGAAATATCGTACCGTTCGCCAGTTTTTTGACCGGCTGGCGTTTCTTGCGTAGAGCGCCCTTGGGCAAATACTTATCACGCAGGTGATTTATTTTTTGCTGGTAAGATTGAAGGACAAATCAAGTCGCTGAGAGAAGATGAGGAAAAGCGGACGAATGCCATATTTTTGTGCATGAAGTCCCGATTAAAAAAAGCTTAAAGTTATTATACGTGTAAGCTAAAAAAACTAAGATCAGTTATCAAAAATATTTGACCCGAAATTGGCCTCTGTTTTCTCTGACCATGATTGCGTGTAAGACACAGGTCCAACCGGGTTCAACCCGACCCAACATGGTTTGGCTCCCCCTTTTTTAATATAAATTTGGCCCGAACCTTTTGAATGAAAGGAATCACAAGGAAAGAGTCCCCGCTAAGCTGAGCTTGTTGCGCTGACCCTGCCCTCCACCCTCCGATCAAGCAAATCCTGGTCTATGGCAGAACTATGTAGTCCAAATTTTAACGTGCGCACGTAGCCTCGCACGGCCGGTCCCCTCACTGACTTCGCCTAGCAGTGGCCTGCCACCAACCACAACCATACCCGTCAGGAGCTCAAAAACGTCAAGCACACGTCGCGTTTCGAACCCGGACTTTTGCAACCGGGACGTGCGCTCTCACCACACGGAATCCAACGCCCTAACGACCGAGCTACCGGGACGGACATTTACCTAGGGGTTTCGCCTCGTGACATTGACAGACGTCAGACACTTTGGCCGAACTTTAGCCGTAGCACTGAGTAAGCTGCGCAGGCCGACAGGTGCTCGTAGCGTTGAGGTTGGGTAACCTGTGAGCTGAACGCGATGTCGTGAGTTCGAGCCCCACTTTCGGGTCTGGTTTTATCTGGACACGAACCAAAACCTTTCCTTCTACTGCAACACAGACAAGCACGATGATATCTTTCGCCAACATCTTTCCCCAATATCTTTTCAAAAAAAGTCAAAATTATCGCTTATAAATGTTTAGCTAAGTTTCATTTTTAAATTTTTTGGTCATTTTTTGGAGCCATTTCAACTCTTTCTTTTCGGATTCTTTTCGACCTGATAAAACCCACCAAAACTGAACGTGCCAAATGAAAAAATACCGAACTCAAATAACAGTTTAGAAAAGCCTAAGACATCATGCAACTATCGACTGAATAGTTGCATGCTATTAATACGTCCTAGATTTCAATTATCATTGTTCAAGATTTTGGCTGGAACTGGCGCTGCCTCTCGCTTGTCCGTTTGTTTGAGATAATGATTCCCTTCAGTCGCATTCTTGCTGGTTCCACATGAACAGGACACCACCATACCGAAGTGAACGCACCCACAACCATCATCCCCTGGCCCCTCCCCTCAGCCTCGGCGCAGTGGCGGGCGGCCCTGGGCGGCCCACTCCCGGCGCTACGCACGCACCATGCGCCGTGATACCGCGTCACTCCCCCTCCCTCCTTCCCCCACAATGACCGGTGACCTCACTTCCCTCGGGATTTGGACTCGCCCTACCCCGACCGTAGCGCCACGTGGTGGCTCTGGAGATCTTAAATAGACCCACTGTACGTGGTCGCGCGCGGACAGTGGACCGTAGTAAAACAAAATCCCTATTCTATATACTATCTGCTGTCTGCTTGTGGGCTCGCTTGTTTCTATGGCAACTTGCAAAAGTGTGATCATTCTGCCTGTCTCATGAGGCAATTTTTTCAGAAAGTTGCTTTTTCGTTTTTCTCTAATTTTCTTTTATCAAAACATTTATGATGAAACATCGAACAACTTTTTTAATCATTGAAGGTAACTGCTTCCTGCAGATCGCTAATAGCTAGAACACCCTTCAATTGTCACTTTTGCGCAAATAATTAGCAAAAAACAAAAGGGCTCTCTCTATCGCCTGGATAAAAATAGGCCCCGCCCATCCCAATCAGCTGCTGCATGACGAGTTGATGACGACAACCACTGCTTACCAGCAACCAATCTAGGGATAGCGTACGTGACAGTAATGGTGCAGCGGTTGCAAAATATTACATTGTTATTCAAACGGTTTTTTGCTTTTAGGGCCTTGTTGTTTTTAACCCATCTGTGTTAGATTGTATTGAGATATGTGATAAGTTGAGGTGTTGATGAAGGCAGGTATTTTTTAAAATATTTTTTTTTCTGACAATTTTTGCCCTTGTGGCTTGTTCTACTTAATAGCTGAACCCGGGACCACCTGAAGTCTAAACCTTATTTTATATAACATGTCAATGCTGAATGCTGATGCTGTGTGAAATGTGAAATTTAGACAATGGTAATAGGAATAATGAATAGCAATTTCACCAACAACTTGTTAATCTCCAGGAAGTGCAATTAAAATTAAAATCACTGTCTGCCACACTGCTCCGATCCTGGTCATGCAACCAACGTTCATGGGTGGTGTTTCGCGCTGCGTGTGTCAGAGCATTGGGTTTCCATGGCAGTGTCAACAAACTTCACTGTGACGCTAAGCTATGACAGCATCTCAGAACGCTAGCACGCTGCGGTACCAGCACCAGCAGCATGCTAGCAGTATTTGAACTCAAACCTCTGTTCTTGGTACGGTTTTTCAGAACCTCTCACTCTGTTCCAAACGTGATTCATCATAAACTAAGAGATCACATGCAACGTCATTTGAGTAATGCTATGGTATGCCGTAGCTACCAGTGCACACAGTGTCTGGATGGTGAAACAGGGCCATTATTAATCACATTTGCTTTGCTTTGTTTCAGCAGAAACCTGTCTGCACATGGGAGGAGCGCAACAAAAGCCCATCAAGTTCATGCATGGCAGTGGATCTCAACCGGAGAAAACCAGAAAGAACATGGATGCTTGTAGATTGCAGTTGTACACTGCTGTTGTCACCTGATGTGCGTGGCTGGCATTGCTCCTGGCAAGAACCACCTGCAAGTGATGAGATGGTGCCTCAGTCGTTGAGTGTGCTGCAGTGTGAGAGGCGCCCTGATCTCTACTTTGTGATGGGTTTCCATTGGAGGTTCAACTGAGAAGTGAGAACTGACTGTGACCATGCTCGAGCATGCCAGTGGAGCTTTACATGCTTAGGGCAGCTTTTGAACAGATGCTGACCATGGCATGTCCCATCCAGTTATCACGTGCACAGAATGGTGGGGGGATGCAACTCTGGGCTCTTGAGTCAGCCCTACTGCATTGGGGGTACAGATGGCCGCTTACGTTTGGTGTGTCCTGGGGGCTGTTCACGGGCCCTGTGTGCGGTCGAACCGCACACAGCCTCCAAGCTCCGCCCACTGCGTCCCTACGTCAGCCTTCCGTCACCGCACACAGCGATCGCTGTGGCCGGTCGGGACTGGCCACAGCGGACCGTCCACCGCACGCAGCCGTGACGTCAGCACCGCCTACCCATCCCCTACCCCCACGCCTGCTGGACGCACCGCACACACCGCACGCAGCAGTGTGCGGTGCCCGTGAACACCCCTCAGCACTGCATTATCAAGCCCAGTCTGCTGCCACAGGCAATGGGTCGGGCTGCACTATATTAAAGGCAGACTATCTTGCAAAGGAGGCTGGCATCCTCTCCCATAATGACACACCAATTGACAATCATCGCTGCGATGATCACGAGGGTGTCCGCTTATCTAACATGGTGAGGTGGAGACTGGAGAGCCAGCTCAAGCTGGCCTGAGGGATGGTTTTACTTCATCTGAGGTCCCCTTTCCCTGCCTGCCAGGTCCGGTCAAACGACCGCTTCACAGTGAACGACTTGCAGTGGATGCCGTCCCACAGCGCAACGAGCGCGCCGACCAGAGGCGGCGGCCAAGAGGCGGCCGGGCTCCCCCAGTCGACGGTCCCGGTGGACGTCGGCAACGCCCACCGCGCGACCATCAGATCGGCTCGCGACCGCGCCGTCGCCGACTGACCGCATGACTGGTATCTGTTCTTGATGTGGGACCGACTGCCACCGCCGGTCGCGGAAGGGCATCGCTCATCGGCCATCGACGTCCACCAGCTTCGCGTGGGTCACTGTTCGGGCTGCCACCAATACACCGAATCGGATGGAACCCTGTCGGTGAATGCCGGCGGTGCCCCGACATCGACTGCGCGGCGGCCAGTGCATCGCGTGCCGGGAGGAGGCTGGCACCCCCGATCGGTCATTGGTCACAAACCGTGTCCCAGCTCATGACTGCATCCAGCGCAGCTCTGTGAGATGTTCTGCTGCAGTCTGCCGCGTGTGTTGAAAGAAGAATGAACATGAGAAAACCTCAAAACTTTATGCCTATTAGTATTTGACCAGTATTGGAATAAGTTTGGATTTTGAGAATTTGTGTCCCTGTGCTTGTGCCTGTGTGGAAAGGCATGCTTTACGGTGTACCATCTCAATTTGTGCGGCTGCTGACAGGCCACCTGGGTGCCGTGCCAACTGCCAACGTATGTGCGAATCCGCGAATACGTTGTGTTTCGTCAGTCGGTATCGTTCTGAAAATATTGACTGCAATAGGCTATATAGCGTATGACGGTTCAGCCCAGCAGTAATAACTGACCATTGATTAGGCGAATTTTGTGTGGTGGTTCGCTAATACATAACCTAAAGAGTGTTTTGCCGGAATCGTTTAGTATCAGAACTGACCGGAATATAAGTAGAATGCAACGTTGTGAATCGTTAATTTGTTGAAACGATTGTTCTCTGAGACCACTGTGTAACTTTTGACCTGAGAATCACCAATTATAACGACAATGGTGGAAGCAGTAGGCACTGTAGAGTGTACTGTGTAGGCACTAGGCAGCACTATATAGTTGGCACACTTACGCAAGCACACGACTTACGCAGTGGACATCTGCATTATGCATGTTAGGTTTACTGGGAAGAGTGAGAAATTAGTCAGAATATAACTGACTAAGGAAAATAGGCGATATTTCCAATTGAGCTAGGGCGGAGAGGGGGAGGGGACGTATGGTCAGCTATGCCAATAATTCATTCTCGTTATGCAGCTGTGTAAAAGGGCGTCCGTTTTTTGGGTGAGACCTTCCCCATTGGCCATTTCCATGCTAAATCGTGGTGGAGAGTCTGGAGACCTCATCCTCGGTAGTCGGTACCCTGCGCGCTGCGCCACCTTGCGAAACATAAAGCAGCAGTCCTGACATCTACAGGCGTTACTTTTCATGAAAGCGCGGATGTGTTCGCGCTTATGTGAAGAAAATTCTTCCGAGTATGTTTGATAATGAGATTAATTGTTGTCATTTATTTATTAATTCATTGGCAAAAGTACCCTAATAAATCGGTAAAGTAGCTTAAACTGTAACGTATTTCCTTGGGGAAAAAATGACGAACTCATCCTAAGACATCCAGATTATTGGATGCGTTCGTCAGTTGAAAGTAGTTCAAGTTTTTGGAAAAATTTGCTTGTGGAAAATCATAATATTTCAAAGATATGCCTATTTTGGAATAATTTATGCATTTATCTGCATTGAAAAATGATTGTAAAGCAAAATTGCAAAAGATTATTGTCAATTTATTTTCTCAAATCACAATTTACGAACGCACAAAACTCCAGCTTTTAATTTAGTGCGTGTGCGAATTGCGGTCAAGAAAAAAGATTCAAACTGTCTATATTCCTCTTAAAACATTGAAGGATGAATGAGGAAAACGCTGTTTTGAACGATTGTATATTTATTTATTCTCAATTAAGCAAAAGTACAAAATTTTCAACTATTATTGCATTTGCTCTCACAAAACCCATCACTTTTAAGCATGACGTCATGTCACCCAAACTTACTAGCGCCATCTCTGGAGAGCATCTTTCGAAACCTCCAGACGATAGAGAGAGCCAACAAAAGGCATGCTGCTAGTAAATTCTTGTTCACGAGTATCATTCAAATGATCAATGCCAAATTATCGTGCAATTATCGTGCAAGTTTTCGTGACACGAGGTGTAAGGCGTCGCATTTATTCAGGTATATATTTTGTATAGAAAATGCAAGTTGACGTATCTAAGGTATATTTGCTTTGAGTATCGCGTAAACTCTGGAAATCGTTTCAATTCAAATTGATCTCAATCTTGATTGCGCGGGAAACACAAACTTTTGTGATAAGTGATGACTGGTGATTGAGATTGGCGTGCTGGCGTTGATTGTAGTGGATTGATAGCCGGGCTCTACAGAGCCCCCCCCCCCCTTCTATCTTGATCTCCCATGGTATATCAGAATACAAATATAGAGAACTATCTCTACGAAACTTTGCATTGGTGATTTAGCTTGTGACTTGTGAGAGATTGGTAGGTAGATAATCTGAACTTGAGTCTTGAACAGTGTTCATACTTATACTTCATGCTCTATATCACTGGACATTGCAGGGTATATAGAACAACATTTGTCCTCTATATAGGGCCTTGCATTTGTCCCAGAATGTCCCAACATGTGTCCAACACAATGTCCCAGAACAACAGGGACATTGACTCACCTGTTAGGTTTCCACGTCCCGTCCAATGCATGGGGATGGGAAGGAAACCAAGAATGGCAGAGACGCGCCAATACTCCCATGGTAAGATGGAGTAAGGTACACGTGAGAGCTGGAATAGTGCGTCTGCTAACAGATATTCGGGAATGTGACACAGGATTTAATTGAGACATTGCTCGTTGTCTGCCTGGACTCGATGAGCTTCACATGGTGGACTACTTGCTTGAAGCTTCCACAGTGACACCCTCATGCGTCATATTCAAACAGTCGGCTGCCTAGAGCTTCTGCCAGGCTTGTCTTGAATTCGGATATGGATTCCGAGATAACGACCTGATTGGGTAGAGTTCCATTCGCTGACAACTCTCTCCGAGAAGAAACGCGCCCTGGTATCGAGCTGACAGCGACGAGTCTTGATCTTGTACATGTTGCCTCGGGTGCGATGGTCGGTTGCAATGTCCCAGAGATCTGCCGGTTTTATCGGACAACGTCCTCTGAATATTTTCCAGCTTTTTATCAGATCTGCCCGCAGTAGGCGTCCCTTGACAGAGTACAGGTTGAGTGATCTGAGCCGCTCTTCGTAGGTCTTGTCCTTCAGGTCCCTGACGTGACGAGTCCAGAGTCTTTGCACTGCCTCGAGTCTCTTAGAGTCTTCAACAAAACCAGTGTTCCACACCACCGACGCGTACTCAAGGACAGGGCGAATATGTGTACTGAGGACATGAACCATGAAGTCCGGCTCTCTACAGAGGGTAGCTCTCAGAAAGTTGTGGGCAACGCCACCCGCCTTCCTTGCTGCACCTCTTGCTTGCCCATGGAACTTCAGGTCGTCATCGACAGTGACTCCCAGATCCACATGGGAGTGTGTCCAGGGAAGCAGTTCGTCCTGCAAGAAGTAGGTGGGTCTCAGCGGCGCATGGAATCGTCTCTGGAACCTCATGACGGCGCATTTCTTCAGGTTCATGCTCAGGCCCCATGATGATGCGGTTGTGTGCAGTACGTCGACATCAGACTGAAAATTCGACATGTCGATCTCAGGTTTGGTGATGCACATGTATACCTTCAAGTCGTCCGCAAAAATCTTGTACTGGCACCTGAGCTGGGTCGCTAGATGGTTTATATAGATAAGGAAGAGCGCTGGTCCCAGGATGGAGCCTTGCGGCACGCCACTGCGCACACTTCTTGGGTGCTCAGGGTGCTCTTCACCACCACCCGCATGGTACGGTCCGTGAGGAATTCTTGCAGCCATGTCAGAATGGTTCCTCGAAGACCGATGCACCTGAGCTTCTCGATGAGGACGACATGGCTCACTGTGTCAAAGGCCTTGGAGAAATCATAGAGAATCAGGTCTACGATGTGCCCGTCATCCCACTGCTTTGATATACAGGGTGATCCAAAAAAATGGAACCCCTAACTTAAAATGTCCGTAAGTCCGAAAGTTTTCACATTATTGACAAATTGCAAGCACCATTAGAAAGAACGTTCGATTCGCCATAAAACCAAGTTGATTGAACTTAACTATTACTATACATATTGCCCTAGTTATATGCCTATAAAATTTGTGTCACGAAACTCACTGAAACGGTTTTGAACATTATGCGCAAATCAGTGATTTGCGGTTTGCTGTTCTGACCATGTCGCATGTTGGAGGTTCATGAATAAAAATAGCTCATTCACGTGCTATTGCAAGGAATTTGAATTTCAACAGGAGCAAAAAAAAAGTCATTCGGTGCTCCGTGCCACACGGCCCACTCAGTGGTCGAGTTTCTGGAACAGGCCTGCCCGGCCTTCATCGAGCCAGATGCCTGGCCACCGAAGAGTCCTGACCTCAACCCTTTTGACTTCTTCGTGTGAAGCGAACTGGAGCGAATTATGTATAGAGGTCAGAGGATCAGCAGTCAGTACCATAAAGGAGCTGAAAGAAAGGCTAACGGCCTGCTGGGATCAGTTGTCCCAGAGACTGCCGGACGGCGCCGTCGGAGCCGTCCCGAAGCGACTGCAGGCCTGCGTGACGGCCAACAGAGCTCGGTTTGAGCACATGCTGGGATGAACAGCGGAAGCTAGGACGCGTGTATCTGTTCTATTGTGTGCTTCTGTGTAAACTTTTATGCAATAAAATTAAAATTGGATGTGGTGTTATTCGCAAAAAAAAAAAAACAACAGATGGAGTGGTAACAGACTTCAGTGCATTGTTAACAACTGGCGATTTCGTTTCACTCAGTTTTCTGACGCTCATTCCAAAAGCTAATAGTGTGTCGATGCCTTAGCACATACATGCACTAATTTGACGTAATTTTATAGAGGATTTAATGCTCTTTCTAATGGTGTTTGCAATTTATCAATAAAGTAAAACTTTCGGACTTATAGACACTTTAAGTTAGGGGTTCCAAATTTTTTGGATCACCCTGTATAGTCATAAGTGAGAAGAAGCTGGTCTTCGGTTGATCGTCCCGACCTGAATCCGAACTGTTCGTCTGCAAGAATTGAGTTTTCTGTCAGGAAATCGCGCAGTTCACGATAGATCAGACGTTCCAGGCACTTGGATGGTACTGATAGGAGGCTCACTGGGCGATAGTTAAGGGGGTCGAGACGACACCCCTTCTTGTAGATGGGCACAACGTGTGACAGTTTCCAGAGAGCAGGCAAGACTCCCTCTGACAGTGACAGCTTGAAGATCCGGTGCAGTGGTTGTGCTAGCTTCGAAGCGCAAGCCTTTAGCAGGTGAGGGTGAAGACCATCCGGCCCCATGGCGGAGTTGACGCACAGTTGGGAGAGTATTGTCCTGACGTCTTCTACTGTGAACTCAACATGTTCAAGTATCGCGTCACATGACTGGTGAGAAGCTGGGTTGGGTAGATCCTGATTGGAGAACGTTTCAGCAAACGCCTCAACAAAAACATCTGCCATCGACTTCGGGTCGTCGATGATCGATCCCGAAGGCGCCTTCAGCGGTCCGACTGATGACCTGCATTGTTTCTTGTGGCGCAGATAGGCATGGAGCAGTTTCGGGCTTTCTTTCAACTTAGACAAGAGAGTCTTCTCGTAGTCGATCTGCGAGCGAACGGCAAAGTTGCGGAGTTGTTTATTTACGCCTAAGAAATCATTCAGTCGTGATCGGGTTGTTGGCGCTTGCTTGCCGTAGGATGCTCGGGCTTGTTTGTATGCTGACCAGGTGGATGCTCGTCGACGTTTGAGCGAAGAAGGTGGGTTGGTTTTCCATGGGACCCGGCGAGCCTTTCCTTGCTTGGCAGTTGGTATCAGTTGAGATATCAGTGGGCACAAGATGTCCATCAATCTCTTGAGTGCTTCTTGCGCAGTGAGGAATTGGAATTCGAAATCCCAGTCTATGTCTGCCAAGATGGCATTCATGTCTCCATATCTCCCTCTTTCCCATAAGAGGTGATGGAGCGAGGTGTGTTGCAATGCGATTTCAACATCAAAGAAGTACTGACAGTGGATGCTGCAGTGGTCACAGCCAGGAGGAGGAGCTTGGACCGACACCAGCCCCATTCGATCGTTCTCGTTTGTTAAGATCAAGTCAAGAATGTTCCCCGAGCGTGGGAATGTGGGCTCCGTGACCCACTGCGTCAAGCCGAGCAGATCGAACAAGTTGCTGAATCGGGTGTCAGATGCTGAGGCGTGTCTCGTCGGGTCGTCAGGTGAGCTCCAATCTATAGTGGGGAGATTGAAATCGCCTAGGAGCACGGCTTCCTTGTCGATGCAGCTACTTGTGAGAAATGATTGGAGGCAGTCATTGTCAGCAGCTGAGTATGAAGGGGGCCTGTACACCACGTAAATGTATGTGTCGAACCTGGTCATGCGGAATGACAAGACATTGCGGAATGAAGCGTTGACATTGTCGATTTGAAGATGTTCAGCCACATAAGCCGCCACTCCGTGAGCTTTGGTCGTTCCGCTGTCATTTCGCATGAGCTTGTACCCCGGAATTTGAATTGCTGCGTCGGAAACCTCCGCTGTAAGATGCGTCTCAGAAACCAGGAAGATGTCCGTTGAAGAATCAAGCTGAAGTGTGTCCTGGAGAGAAGCTATCTTGCTGCAGAGCCCGTTCACGTTACAATGTACAATGCTAATGGGGTACGTGTGCGACGTTTTTTCATTCTGCCTCAGTTTCCCAGCTGAGCGCGATCAGAGGGAGCGTCGGGTGGGCTTTCGCCCTGTGCGGGTCCGTTCAGTGGAGGATCAGAACCTGTGACATTGTCCCTGGCCGAGATGTTAGAGCCGGCGGACGTGGAGACGGCATCAGAGTCGGCATCGGTCGTAGGGTGGTCATCTCGCGGCTGTGAAGGAGCTTCTGCCGAAGGTTCCGTTGGTCGTTCTGTGGTGGGCGGGGTGGGTTCCAAATGGGCTGGACCTCCCACGGATCTGTCACCTCCAGACGAGCCATCCGCTGGTGCAGGGCTGGGCGGAGGAGAAGACATGCGCCGAGGCTGTCCAGGGACTGGAATCGTGATGGTGGTCTTGGGTCTCGTCTGGTACTCCCGGTATCTGGCCTGGATCTCCATTCGCTGGAGGTAGGTGAGATCCTTCTTTATGTAAACGTGAGAGAAGGGAGAGTCTTTGAGCGTCTTCGCCTGCTCCAGGATGATCTTCCTCTGACGATTGTTGTGAACGTTCCCGCGGTACAGGTCGGCGTTGTTCTTGATACGACATGTTTCAGAGAGGACGACTTTCTCCCCAATGAGAGATTCAGTGACCTCCGCAAATTTTGCAGTAGCTTCTGCAGTTGATGCTGCCCTTAGTCCCCTGATCACAAGAGACGACCTCCTCTTCTTCCGTTCATCCAGCTCTAACAGCTCCTCTCGAACCATCATCCTGTACTCCTGGGTGTGGTGGTGCTGTTGGTTCGACTGGGGTTGGTGGCTTGTTGACATTTCCTGGGTCAGTGTGTGGGCTGCAGGACCCTGCCTTGGAACCCTAGAAATTCTAGAAATTCCTGTCAGCGCTTCTGCATATGTGTGCCCAGTACCTTCCCTTTCTGTGTGGGGAGACTCTCTGATTTGAGAATGGGTGTTGCTGTTGAGTGCCTGTATCTGGTTAGACATATCAGTGATGTGGGTCTTGAGAGTTTTTTCCAGACTGTCAACTTTCCTGAACAGCTGTGACAAGGCGCCGATATCGGACAAACCTTCAGTGGTCACGCTTTCACATCCAGAGTCCAGCTGCAGAGATGGCGTCAGCAGGGTGCTTGTGACGCCCTCGTCCTGCGAGGCCTGTGTGGCTGCGTCCTTCATGGGTGCTCTTGCTCTAACTTAACTTGAGCAAATTGATATCAGTAGTAGCGTAAATTGAAGTGGGTTTACAAAGTATTTATATATGTCAATTGCAATTTCAATTTCAATCTTGGTGAAAGCATGCAATTGCAATGTGACCTTCTAGAATGCTTAAGGATATCATTTGCTGGGGAGCATTCTGGTCTAGGGGTAAGTTCCTTGCCTCTAGATGTAGCCATCCGCAGTGACAGCGGAACACATTCAATTAAGGGGGCACCACCGACTTTTGGTCCCATTCTTTCCATACAACACAACACCCTTAGGGCTAATGTTAAAATGTCAAAATCAAAGGGGGGCACGGTGCCTCCCCCATTTGGGCTGGATTCCCGGGCAATGCACGTGGCATTGCCGCTGCATGGCCGCTTGGAACAGAGTGAAAGTTCCAGTTAGCACCTTGGTCCACCAGATATGGTGCTTAACCCAATGGTTTCGAAATGTTCCACCAGGAAATATTCATTAAAACTTAAAAAATATAACTAGCCATGTTTCAAGAGCATTACAACTGTTTTTCTCAGAAAATATATAACAAAACTTAAGTAACCTGATCAACTCTTACCTACAAAACCTACCAACCTATGGGTGGTGGTGGGTGGTGATAATTGAAGTGCAAAGTTTTCTCTCATTCATGCTGCCAAAAATATTCATATGTTCTTCTGAAGTTCTGAAGGTCCTCTGAAGACTACATTTTATTGCACTCACCTAGCTATATGAGATGCAGACGTACATTAGCTTAACTATGCATCTTTTGGTTTTCAGAATTTCTTTAAAGAATATGTGACTAGTGATAAGTATCTGCTAATCAGCATAGATAAAGTAAGATCACTCTCACTCCAAGTACCTATCACTCTTGATGTGCTGACAGCAATATTTTCAATTCATATCCTTTCAGACTTTGCAGCTAGCCTTACTCTCTTCCCTTTCCTTTCAGTTGACCACTATGGACGGGAATCCATCCACATCCGAGGGCGCCGGTGATGCCGCCGCCGCGGCGCCCCCCACGGACGCCCCTGAGGCGCCCGCAGCTCCCCTGGTGCTGAAGGAGCGCACTGTAGAGGAGCTGATGCGCCTCCACTTCAGCTCTCCACGGACGAGGCTGGGCGCTGAGGGCCTGCGGTTGACCACGATGGCGCTGCAGCTGTACGTGCGGGAGGCGGCACTGCGCGCCTCCGACCAGGCCCGGCTGACGGGAGCGCCGGAGGTCGGCCTCGAGCACCTGGAGAAGGTGCTGCCACAGTGGCTGATGGACATCTAGTGGGAGTGGTTGATGGGCGTCCGAGTATGGAAGAAGAAGCTGGGATAGTGGAGTGGATGACGCATCTAGAGTACTCAGTCCGGTAGAATGTGCTGGTTGCAATGTTGCTCTGACTGAGATGCCTGGTGTGAAGGAGCTGGATCTGAAAGAAGTTCTGAATGGCCCAAAACGCTGAAGACACGTGGTTTGAAACGAACGGCACGGTATTTAAGCCGGTGGAGTCTATTACCACATGCCACCTCATCCGAGTTTTGTCCGGAGGGAGGAGGAGCATAATGAGGACAGATCATTTTGCATGCATTTATAACATGCGACACTCAAGTCGGAGGTACTAAAAATGTGTAAGAATATTGCAAGGTTTCTAAGTTGAGGTGCAGTCATTGACCATTGATCGAACACAGGTGAGTTTAACACTCTATTGTACTCTGTTGAATAACTTGTAAAATATGCCAGCTGGTGACCTGTGACCGAATACTCGATCCAGCAATATGATGCCAAATTGTGTCTTCATTTGCTTGTCGATTTTAGCGTTGCAGTTTACACTAAAAAAAAAGTATTCCCCGGTTTCTCATAAGTTTATGTGGCGTTAGCCGTTAACGATTGCTTGTGTCTGTGGTGTTTCTGTAGGAACTGTGAGATCACATGACATCACTAATACATCAGTCGCTCCGGTTCCCAAATGACATCACGTCATGACGTACCTAATCACATCATGATGTCATAACGTCATGTGTATAGTTGCGACCCGACCACGAAATACAGCAGTGACCTGAAGGTTCTATGTTCTCTGTCTCTGTGCATTTAAATCGATGTCGGCGGTGCTGTTAGCCTTCATTGCAGTGTCCGGTGTCATTTTTAAAGGCGTGCTCCTCACGAGTTAGCCGGTGTCAGCGCGATCAGTTGGCGGTAATATAAGGTGAAATGGGGTTTAGCTAATGGGGCCCATTAGCTGATCTGACCGGTGTGTGTTAACCATTCGTGCTCTGCATATAGGCGCGTGATTGTGCGTGAGCTAGATAATGTACACTGTGTAACGTTGGCTGTTGGTACGGTGTTGTCAGTGTGGAGCGCTCATGTCCTTGTCACATACACACACATGGTTGTTCATTGTTGTCATTAAATATTTATTACCAATATTTAGCTTGATATGGCAGCGAAACTGAGAGCGTTTTCGAACACATTCCGATAGTGATCGCAATGATTTAACATGTAACGAAAGCATACTCTCCGTTTTTGGTTTAGAAATCGACAAAGCAAGCGGGGTAATTGGTATGATAAATATTTTATGTAAGTCGTTTCGCCGATTTCTATGATACGGGGTTGAAACCATACTGGCTCGTTAGGATACTGGCTCTGTCTATTCTCAACACACTCATGATATGATGTACATTTGACAATCTCGAGTCTGCTCACAAACATAGAATTAACATAGCACGTCCACCAATAGGGGCGGACTGATGACGTCACCCGCTGGAGCTGTCTTAAATGATGCAGATGATAAACATATGGGAAATAGACATAATCTGACATTAGCAGTGATGGCCCGTATGGCCGCTGGTACGCCCGGCGCTCCGGTCCTGCCGTGGTATGGCCGCGGACCACCTCGCCATTCCGGTGCTGGATCGGCGGGACGTCTTAGTTTTCGCCCATCACCAGCTGGACAAACTCTGAAACATTCATGGGTTGTTAAAATCGGTGCTTGAGTCATTGGACTCATGCGTTGCATTTGTATGCATTGTGTAAGAAGTTATAGACGTATTTTGAGTCAGTATACTGATAGTAAGAAAACACCAATAGTTCGATATTTTCTCACATAATCGCTGTTTTTTTACAAGCTCCGAAAATATCCACCTTTATTACGGTCGGGTTTCGCTACACATGTGTTCTGCTCCCTTATGTCATCTAGGCACGAGTAACCTACCCTCCCCGTATCCCCCTGCCCGATGCTGTCCTCTGACCGGTGTATGTTAACCAGCGTGCGCCGTCTGTCCGGTAGGCGGTTACCTGAGTATGTGATCCTGTTCTTGCCGTCCTCGTCCACCTCGTCCACCATTTCCTCGACTGTGGACAGGGACGACCGCCCGTCAGGTGGACAGCTCAGCGTGGAGCGGTGAGTACCGGATCCACGCCACATTCCACATGCACATGGTCAGGGCCAGCCCGCCGCCAGAGCAGGCGGCGCGCTGTGAGCAGCATACGAACCGATTGTCCCGAGGCTGGGCCCGAGTTTTAGCCGGGTAACGCGATATGCACACATGCGGTCGGCTGGTGTGCACTGGGAAGTTAGTTCTGTTTGACAAATTTCTATGTATTGGAAGTTGAATTATATGGAGGAATAAAAAATGCGTTATACCGATTTAGCGAATTCAACGTATGTACTCGTAGGTAATGGATATCTCGTTCAAAGGGCCACGAAATTGACCGAAAGGGTGGGTAGAGGGTGAAAAAGAAATTCCCATTGTTTGAAATTGTTGGAAATGTTTGTGGTTGAAGAGCCAGTTTTAGTATTTTATTTATTAAAACCTCGGTCAAAACTCAGTCATCATAAAAATTTTGCGGCTTGATAGCTTATGTTTCCAAGGAAGGAGATTCAATGAGTGTTGGTTACTTACTCTCATCTAGGCTGAAGTCCTTGCCCATATTTTTCAGGACTGCCCAGATCTCGTTGGGGCCGATCATGCCCATGTTCTTGCGGTCGAAAATCTGTAGAATAAAAAGATAGGTACTTGTCATGAACATCGTTTTATATCAGACTGCCAAAAAACAGTGGTGCAAATGCTCTTACGTTTGGAAATTTGGAAGAGTTGTGGCTTATGATGAAATTGAATTGAAGACAAGACACAAGAGGGTAGAAGACACGCGATGCTGATTGCTGGTATTTAGGTAGTTGGTAAGTGGTTTCGCAGCATGTTAATATCCCATGAAGCGTGGTGAAAACAAAACTTAAGTCAAAAACGACGTGAAATGCTGCATGTTACGGGTAAGGAACACCGCATGCTGCTATGGCTCGATTTGGGTGTTCTTACCTGGAATGTTTTCCGAAGAGCCTGGTCGCGTTCGAAGGCAGACAGCCGCTCCTCTTCCATCCGGGTCCGGGCCAGTGCGTTCCGGAAGTCATCGAAGGTAATCAGGCCGTCCCCTGTGGCAAAACCATTGCTGATAATTTTCCTCTCCGAGAGTTCGTTGCAAAGGGGAAGAGCATGACTTAAAATGAGATCTTATTACGAGCGAGCGCGAACCGAGTCTTTCCTAAATAAAACTGAAATAATCGCCCCGGCCCGACTTGACCTGACGCGAACTGCTGTAATGCTTTTGAGATAAAAAATCGCAACCGTGCAGACGTTTGACGATGTTTGTTGGGTGGCCCCATCCCCTGTACCCCGTATTCGACCCCCCTTGATGCACCTGATTGACCGTCTCGGGACTTGCCGCTATGAAATAGTGCCACTATGAAATATATTACCACTACCTCGGCTCTTTCATAGCGCGCGACGTGTGGAAAAGGCAGAGTAGTCGTCGCGAACTGTGACCAAGTGAACATTAACTTGCCAGACTGGCAGCAGTGGATTGCGGGGCAGATGACTCATCAACACCGAAATGGGAGCGTGTATTTTTCCTTAACTACTGAGTCTCATGCAATGTGGAATATTGCTGAAGTAAATATCCACGTGCTTTTCCATAGGTATCTACGTCAGCTTATTTGCTCGGTGGTTATGTGCATTGAAAGTTACTTCACACCTCACTCACGAGACTGCCTCAAATTTCTACCTCTATTTAGGGTAATTGACATGAATGACTAGGCGAGGTTCGTAGGTCCGTAACAAGTTCATAATCTTGGTAGGTACCTTGATGACTTACCTATAAGATCAGGGTATATTGAATGAGATATCGTTTGCTAAATTAGACCACGATATAGGTGACCTTGCAATTTACGTTCAAGATTACATGCACTGTCCACTGCATTCCCTTATAATCGTTTGAGCGATCAAACCCTCAGACGGTAATCGTTGTGTTCGCTGGGCTTTGAAAAATAGGTAACACACAGCAGTGCTAGGCTAGGTAAATGGTTACACGGTACACTACACCTTCATTGAGGGACTCCCAAATATTTTGAAAATATTGCGGCAAGGCTCAAGGTGACCATGGCTCATACTGGCACCGTGCTGTTAGCATTTTTATCTATTTTCATTGACCCGTCTGGTTCAATTATCATCGAAACAACAGACTACTGCAACAAGACTCTTTGCCGGGGGGACTGGGTGCACACCATGTGTGAGCACCCAGACGAAACACCCGGCCCGGCCTGCCTTCAAATCTACAGCACGCCAATAACAGACAGCCAAAAAGAAGAACTGCTCGACGTGCACAATCGCCTGCGTGAACATGTCGCATCAGGGAAAGAAACGCGTTGCCAAGGTGGGCCGTTGCCGACAGCAGCGGACATGGGCGTTATGACGTGGAACGATGAGATAGCACGAATAGCCCAACGGTTGGCTCTGACATGCGTTCGCGGGCATGATAAATGCCGAGACTTGAAGATGATGTATCTTGGACAGAACCTCGCACAAATCACATACCAAAAGGAACAGAAGAGCCCGCCCAATATGACAGCTTTGGTTTATGGATGGTATGATGAGGCGCCCCTTTTCAGCAACGACAACGTTCATCACATTGATATACCCGAGGATGCCGGACATTTCACCCAAATGTTCTGGGCGGAAACTTACAAACTGGGCTGCGGCTACACCAGCTTTTTCTCGGAGTATGCTAATGGATGGATTGTCTACTTAGTCTGCAACTACGGGCCCACCGGCAACTGGCAGTTCGGCGAAATGTACAAGATCGGACCGCCGTGCTCCAAGTGCCCGAACGGTACGACGTGTGGCGGCGACAGTCGCTACCCGAGCCTGTGCAGCTCGGACGACGGTGAGGTTCCTGACTCGCTGGCCACCGTAGGACTCGTGTACCACGCTGGTCAGGACGCCTTGAACGTGTGGCACTGGAGCGTCCTGATTTCATTTGTGGCTGCTGTGCGGGCTATACCATGAGTAGGTACTTTGATCTCAAGTTAATGAGTTGAAGAGTCAACGACAAAAATGTGTATCCGAGGTAGTTGATCTAACATCAAATGTTACTATGACACATGAGTTTCGTCACGTCAGCCACAAGTCGAATTACTTTGGAAAATAAAACGAACAAAAGTATACTGATCTGGATCTGTATTCATCAGACATGCGTAATGCGCATGGATCCCAGAAAATGGATCTGGGATCTGATCCAACGGATTTTGATCTTGGATCCGACGGGACTATAGATCCAGCTCTGTAATTCAGCGAGAGATCCATAGGGATCACAGATCCAAATCAGATTTTTTTTTGCTTGAGATCCAGTGAGATCATAGATCCTCAGTTGTTTTTGTCAGCACAGAAATCCTAAAGAACACTTGTTGTAACTCACAAACGTTCTGTTTGAGTGATTTTATGTGATTGCACGTCATAATCCATAGTTTTGCGGCACGTATTGACATAGAAGCCCTTTAAAACATGGCTTCGAATGTTGTGCGTGGTGGGATCCACTCAGGATCCATGTTCTTGGTTTCTCGTCAGATCGTATGAGATCATAGATCCAAGATAAATTTTTCACGCCGAATCCGATGGTATCATAGATCCTAGCCTGCCGTTTGCTTCGAGATCCACTGATGACTGAGATCATAGATCCATCGCTCGGACCCATGCACATGTCTCATCACTATGAACTGAAGTGCATGTGTAATAAGTGGTTCCGTGGGGATGAATTGGAGTTTGATTCCTAACGAACAAGCGACGTGAGAAAAAAGAACAATAAGCAGATGGACTTATCGTAACAATAAGAATTCGTATTTGTCCTAACTCGATAAGTAAAACAAGAGTTAATTGTCAATCTATTTAAAACCCGCGCACCGACGGGGTTCCGCGCCAACTTAGAGCCGACGGGGAGGGGCGTTTGACCGCCCCCTTCCCCACCCCTGAGATCTCGAGAACGAAGCAAGATAGCGACAAGCGGTAAATGGAATGGGATACGCACGGACAATGTCTAAATTTTTTTACTAAGGTCATTTTCAGGTCAGATCTAAGATGACGTCACAGGGGTAAAAAAGTCAAAATGGCGGCGCTAAAAATGAAGAGTTTTTCTCGAATAACTTTCGCAGTAGCCAAGCTAGGAACTAAACTAACTAATGGCATTATCATGATCCTTTTGTCAATCCGCATAGAATCATATATGTGTTGACCTCGAAAGGTCAAGGTCAAACGTGACCTCAAGGTCATCATGCATACCAATCGATGCGCCTTGACGAGCTGAACACCATGAGATCATCTGCGCGGTTGTTTCTCGTTCCTGTAAGGAGCTATCAGCAAAAAGAAACTTTGGCGACTCCTGATGACGTCATATGACCTTACAGTTGCCGAAGAGCAAAAAAGGCGTCAAGGTAGTCAAGGTTGACCGTATATGAAGTCATTCATGGTATATTGGGCAATTCCGACGCGTTTTAGTGAAAAAGAAAAACAGGGGGTTGATTTTACCCCATTTGCATTGGTGAGGTCAAGAAATTGACAACACCTTAGGTCATCGATATCGAAATTCCGAGATGTGCAAATTCTACAATGACAGTGTAGCTATCAATGACCTCATTACATCCTACGACTTTCAAAGGTCTCCGTCATCTACCTCCGTCATCTACCGCCGCGGTTTTCCCGATATTCACGAAAAACGGGGGGAGGCGCTTAACCGCCTCCCCCTTGTCGGTGCACGGGTTAATACAATGATTATTGATTAGCCCCAACTACCTACTCACTTAAGCAAATATACTTGTTATATTTTAATGCAATTTGCAAATAACCGAATGAATTGCAAAGAATACTATGTTTCTAGCAAGAGAGCTGTGCGCGATTCCGTCCAAGCTGCCAGCTTGTTGACTTGATTGAATGTGCGATGGAAGTAAAGAAGTCACTTAACAGGTCATCCACGAGGCTACTGCAAAATTATAGCTACACATGTGCAAACCAAGGTGCAAACTTGGTGCAAACCATTGACCTATAATAAGTACTTATTATAGGTCAATGAAGTTATTATAGTATAGGTCAAGTATAGGTCAATAAGTACTTATTATAGGTCAATGGTGCAAACGGCCTTGGCCAAGGCCATATATGCCTTGGTGCAAACCTTGGTGCAAACGTAGTTTGGTGAAAAACCAACGGTCTACCGTAAATGTCGCACGTATATGGCTCACTAGAAAGCTCTAACGCAGGCTTTTACTTTTATACGGACTTGGCGTTTTCTGCACCAAGGTGCTCTCGATGAATTACATAATGTATTCCCTGTAGTAAGAAAAGCGATATACTGCAGCAGTCGGCATTTTAATTGGTGTGCTCTCAAATTTGTTTTAAGAAGTTGCATCCAGCGACCATGAATCTAACCGTTGTCTTGCGTTTGTCGCTTTTATCCATTTTGATTGGACTTTCTGGATCAATTACCATCGAAACAACAGACTACTGCAACAAGACTCTTTGCGAGGGGGACTGGGTGCACACCATGTGTGAGCACCCAGACGAAACACCCGGCCCGGCGTGCCTTCAAATCTACAGCACGCCAATAACAGACAGCCAAAAAGAAGAACTGCTCGACGTGCACAATCGCCTGCGTGAACATGTCGCATCAGGGAAAGAGACGCGCTGCCAAGGTGGGCCGTTGCCGACAGCAGCGAACATGGGCGTTATGACGTGGAACGATGAGATTGCACGAATAGCCCAACGGTTGGCCCTGACATGCGTTAGCGGGCATGATAAATGCCGAGACTTGAAGATGATGTATCTTGGACAGAACCTCGCAGAAATCACATACCAAAAGGAACAGAAGAGCCCACCCAATATGACAGCTTTGGCTTATGCATGGTATAATGAGGCGCCCCTTTTCAGCAACGACAACATTCATCACATTGATATACCCGAGGATGCCGGACATTTCACCCAAATGTTCTGGGCGGAAACTTACAAACTGGGCTGCGGCTACACCAGCTTTTTCTCGGAGTATGCTAATGGATGGATTGTCTACTTAGTCTGCAACTACGGGCCCACCGGCAACTGGCAGACCGGCGACATGTACCAGATCGGACCGCCGTGCTCCAAGTGCCCGAACGGTACGACGTGTGGCGGCGACAGTCGCTACCCGAGCCTGTGCAGCTCGGACGACGGTGAGGTTCCTGACTCGCTGGGCATCGAACCCGTGTACCACGCTGGTCAGGACGCCTTGAACGTGTGGCACTGGAGCGTCCTGATTTCATTTGTGGCTGCTGTGCGGGCTATGCCATGAGCACTTCGAGTTCGTTCGAGTTAAGCTGTAACAATTACCTTATAAATTTGATCATCTGAGTGCGCTGGCGCGTGCAGTTTTTATGGATGACTGTTTGATTGGCGGCCGTGCTATCAGTGGATGGGTCCGGGTCAGACTTTCAAAAACTTCAGGAAATCCAGCCCATACGAAACAAGCCTGGAATGCTTGGTGTACATTGACACGTGGCACGGATCGTGGTGTCAATGCCACGGGGTCCGATAATGCTTCAGGACACGTGCTCTGCTTCTGCCTTTCACGAACGGAATGTTTCGCAAGTAGGTAACAATTGAAGGCTGAAGCAATGAGGTAGTATCTGACTTTCCATGGCTTAAATCGTTCTTGATATGTTAATGAACTGAGTGGTTATATAAACTCGGCTGAAATTTGTCCTTTCTTTCCAATGCAATCTCAAATTTCTACAATTTTCTTTCCAGATATTGTGTTCGTTTTTATTTGATGTTTATGAAAACGATCACCAGGGTGGTGTTGGACACGACTTTCCTTTTGCATCCTGTTGCCGAGTGTATGTGCCTTTAGTACTTACCATCCACATCCGTCTTGGCCATGACCTCGTCCATCTCGGTGTCGGTGATGTGGAGGTCGATGCTGCGCAGGACGTTGGTCAGGTGGACCGGGGAGATGTGGCCATCCTCGTCAGTGTCCAGCAGGTCAAACTGACGGCGCAGCGCTGAAAACAAAACAAAAATGCAACGATTATGCCTTAGAATGAACCTTTTCTGGTAAGCCATGAAAGTTCGTTTTAAGAGGATGAACATATGAAACTTCAGAGTTTGAATGCTCATTAAAGCTAATGAGAGCTAATGAGTAATGAGCTCTGCTAAAGCTCATTAGCTAGATAGTGGTTCCACTCACAGGCTAGGTCTTCTGCGCCGCGAAGGTTCTGGCTGCTCTCCAGGGCCATGGCGTCTCGTCTTTGGCAGGGGTGGACTGTGGGCACTACCGGGCTCCAACACCGGCCGGACTCGCTCACTGGACTACTGACGGCGTCCTCACGAGCCGGAGCCGGTCAACTGGTGCTGCCGCCGCCGGCCGCACCGCCTATATAGCGACCGGCGGCCGCACGGCGGAGGCGTCACGGCCCGTGACGGCAGCGTCACGGGTGTGACGACCGAGGCGCTCAGGTACCGCGGGGTGATTCCCGGCTGGCCGGGGCTTCCTGCGCGGATGCACTGGGACACTCACTGTGTGGGTGTGATGGCATACGTCATGTTTGTCAGGCTGCATACTAGACCTGAGCTGCGAGAGATGGGTGTGGGCGCGGGTGGGTCTTTATAGGGTGGTGGTCATCCATTATAGGTGTGGCTTCAGGCGGGACCTTGTTAGATGGTGATCCTGGTGGTCAGCCCCGTGTTAGGCCAACTTCCGTAGCTTTGCGGACCAAACTGACCAAACTGAAGGACTAGAATATTGTAATACAGTAGCGGTTATGTACTACACCTTTTTGCGTTTGAATTCAAGCATTCGCCATAACTGTTTGAGCAGCCATTTCGACAATCTGCATTGAGCGCAACTATTCCGGTGTTGTGTGTTTCATTTCAGCCATTCAGGCTTCAGCAAAACAGATTGAATACCGAAATGAGCGATCTGCAAAACAGTTTAATTGGCAATGCTGAGCCGACTGTGTAAAATGGATCCACCAGACACTTAGATACTTCATAGTTCTATGGCATGATAGATGGTGTCACGTTCATCATAGACCTTTGTTCTAGAGTCCCAGGCAATCCAGTCGTGGCCCTTGGTAATTTCCATATTTGTTGATGGAGCGTACATCCACTCGGACTTCGAGATTCGAACTCCTCAAAACGAATGCCTGGACGGTGATGTTTCCTTTAATTCGCCGGACTGCATATTAAAATGACTTTGGCAAATGCATTAGTTTTCTGGGCAAATGCACAATTTTCTGGGATTTTGCTCTGCTACAAGCATCTTGGGACCAATATACCTCATCTAACTCACATAAAAACGGGTGACGAAAATATCACAGCCGGTCTGGCACTTAAGTACGCATGCAAGTACGCGGTACATGACATGCCTACCCAGCCCCACTGGAAGTTTCGTTGGGAAAGTCACATTATAACATAACTGGTCTTACGTTGCATGCGGAAGCTAGCTGTTTCTGCAGCTAATGCCGCAGAAGCATCTGCCCTGATTCGCTAGCTCAGTTAAATCAGTAGTTTTGTCGATTGATAAAAAAACTCTGGTGACCTCAAATAAACTTAGTGACATTATATGTAGGTATATGGCGTCATCCAAGGGCCGAAATGTAAATCCTTGGCGCCAGAAATGCAAGGATGTGCATTTTGCAATTTGCAGTCGTGATTCCAGGTGCTAATTAAATTATATAGTATTACCTATACAATTTACGGCGTTATATAAATATTAAGTATTCCCCATGGATTTATAACCGGGAGGTCATGTGACCGAGCTGACCTAAGGTGACCGACCCCTGTGCAAAATTTTGGATATAAATTTATATTAGGGGCCAAGAGTAGATGCTTATTGCTGCTGGAAGTTTAATTTTCCTACGGGGAAATTATATGGCACTGAACGTTCCATGTTTGCGTTATTATTATTTTTTTGAGGCCCGTTTTAGAGGCTGAGTTATTTTTATTTTTTTACCTATTTAGAGGCTCACTATGACGTCATAGGTCAGTGACCTGACAGCCTGAAAATTCAGGCGGTGCTAAAAGGTCAGTCTTGTAGCAAAAGTGACTTATGCCAAATTTTAACTATCTGCTATGTGCTTCTAAACATGAAAACATGGCAGAGGGGTATGAGAGGTTTGTATTGTGCATGCAAGTTTATGAATGCTAGACTTATTGTCCCCGGTTCCGTTGTGCATATGTGCCGCTTTTCATACTGCGTAGTAGGCGTAACCATTTTCAGAGAGCCTTGTCACACTAAATTACAACGTGGTGGTGCGGTACTGGACGGAGATCACGGAGCGCTCACCAATAGCGGCACCTCAACTGCTTGCGAACGCCAGCGTCACCGACAAGCGAACCCGATTTGAGTTCGATCGGCACGCAGTTTCTAAACTTCAACCGCGTTTCACACGTGCAGAACTCATTGCCTTTGATCTGTTGGAGTGTACGCATTATCTGATGACAGGTTAATTAGAGATTACCTAAATCTGAGCACAGCTGGCCCAGTTATTGCGAAGCTATTTTAAGTGGAGCTATTTCGTCACCTCAGATCGGACACGCGCCAAGCTCTCTGCCCAATAGCATAGGACCGTCGTCTCGTATAAACGCGTCGTCGATTATAGTCACTTGAAGTTGCGATATTTTCCTATGCATGCTAGAAAAGGCCGAACCAACCCACAAACCCTTGTGTCAAACATGTATTCTGTGGCACCTGAGGATGTGACAATCGCTCTAAAGCACCTCAGACAGAGTCGGGTCAGTTCTGCGCTGCTGCGGTGTGGAGTGTTATTGTATACATACGTGAGATACTATCGCTATTGAATTACTCCTACTAATTGGATATATAAGTACAAGACCCATACATCTCACAACCCCATATTTATGTATTTTTTTTTTTATTTATATCATCGGCTGGGCATGTCCAATACTAGTTAGTTTACAGCATTCGCTCTTCGCCAACATCGTGGTTCTCTATTTCGATGAGTGTGAGAGGAATCTTTTTGGTATTCTCCGCCCGGGGCTCTCTTGTTTGCGTCAGATGTTTCTCTGAGTATCTTCACATTGTTGTCTCCCCCTCTCCGTCATCGGTGACAGCTCGCACAAACTCTGAAACACATGTAATACAATGTTGTCAGTGTTCAGCGCAAGTAGGTGTGTCACATATTGCGGTCTGGCTTGTCTGGAATCTTTTTGATCAGGCGTGTTATTTATACAGCTGTTACGTTTCATAGTCCCGTGAATTCATGAATTGACCAAGCCCTGTGATGTTAATGGCAAAAGGGCTGATTTGAAATTCAGTGTAGCATTCATGTTTATGGAATTGCACGCCACTGTTGTCGCTACGGCCTGCGGTCGTTTGGTTTCAAAGGTATCATTTCCATATTTATGTCCTTCTTCTCAATGACACATGTTTCACTCGGTACGTTCGTTGACTCCTAGAGCGACATAATAAAAACACGAGTGGCAAATGCTAGCAAAAGTAGCTCTAGATATTTTTGCATGCATAGACAAACTACATTTACGGTAGATGTGCGGCACTAAAGGATGCAGATTCTGGAAGAGAAAAATGGATGATGGCATATAAAAACACTGACAGACAGACAGGTGCAACTGAGGCGATCCATGACACGTCTAAATCAATTTAACGAAATTTCACGTCAAAAGCGGTGCTTTTCCTGGGATACTATTAAACTAATGCAAAAAAATGAACGTGCATATGGTTTTAGCTAGCACTTAATCCTATATTTACAATTTAAAATTATGTCTAAATGGTATGATGGAGCAAATCCATTTTGCCAAATCGGCTTAACTTGTGCCCTGGAAACGTAGTGATTATCATGCATGTAAATCTGGTTTTTGGTGAGCGAACTCGATGTCCGATAGAAATGCCCAGAAAACATGCCATAGTCTTTCGACTTATGAATATGACATCTAATCCTGTATGGAAACCTGTCGCTCTAAAATTGGCTCCGGAATCTGTTCCTCAGCAATTCAAGTCGTGGCGCGATCATTTCGCATACGCCAGGCAGCGCAGTGAACTAGGATCTTTGTGAGGTGGCTGGGCTCGCGCCGAATGAAGTCACAGTACCAGCACCTGCGTTCGGTGACCTCATTTACACTTCCCAATGACATATGTTTCATTCAGTACGTTCGTTGACTCCTAGAGCCACGTGTAATTGACACGACTTCTAACCAATCATAGTCTCAATCTGCTGGTGCTAGGAGAGATCCTTACTTACCGATAAAATCAATCCGGCCGTCTCCGTCCATGTCCACTTCGTCTATGATGTCCTCGACTGAAACAAGCGTAGTGCGGGATGCTCTGACGATTCGCAATAGCAGTAGGTACCTAATGATGTTTTTGAGCCTTCTAACGCCATCTTCTAACGCACCATCTCCTTCTAACCGGCGAGATGGCGCGGCGTCACGTGAAAGACGTGCAAGTGCCTCTTTGTGTTGCTTGAATTGGTATGTAATTACGCGAGGGATTTTTGCTGTTAACCAAAGGACGGCGACATTTGTTAAGGCAGTTCGGTCACATCGTTCGCAGCATCTTGCATGATCTTACCAAAACTGAGCATGGTCAAAGATAGAGGTTCAGGTATATCTGCAGATCTATCTGACAACGGGTGGTCGTCGGATGGAGGTCAGGTCAGATCCAGAGGTCATAAGTCGCTTACTTTCTTCATCGGTGAGCCGCTCGCCAAGACAGTGCAGCACCGCCCTCAGGTCAGAGACCCCAATAAAGCCGCGACCGTTCTTATCAAACACCTGAGACACAGACGAGTTTCATCAGGGAACGTCTTACACTACAAAAACATGAATGCTGGGAACACGTTGCCATTTGGGATTTACCTGATTTTATGTTAAGTATAAACATTGGGATCGTGTAATGCTTCCGTTAAAAGCATAGATCGTAAGATCTTTTGAAGCTAGCGTTGATGATGAGCCAATCCAAAATAATTCGTTAGACCTTAACACTGTATATACAGCCGTTCCTCTTACCTTGAACGCCTCTCTCATCGCGTTATCGGCTTCCTCCCGCGTCCGCTCTCCGTCTCGACTCGTTTTCGACATGACCGTGACGAACTCGTCAAAGGTCAGATTCCCATCACCTGAGGAGGGTAAAAATTGAGACATCAGTAGCGCATGGTATCCCTTGATATCCACGCATGATATCCTTTTTCACTGACACATAGGCTGAATATTGTTTTGTTGCATGTCATACATTCCAGTTCTTTCAGCCTCTTTTCCCAACCTTACGTTGCATATTCAAGCACTTTACCTACTCCCACATCATGCTTCCGTTTAGTCACATAGCTCCTCTGAATCATAGAGGCGATATGAAATCCCCGGCTGGCAGCCTTGCTAAGGTGATGCATTCAGCAGGGGAATGTCCAGCGCCAGTGGCTGATAGTTTGAGCACATACCGGAGTCGAGGCGGGGTCTACTACCGTGCCCTGTTCGGTTACGTTAACGGCACACATGACAACTTTTCCGGTTCCCATCCCTAGCTACGTCACCGCCACCGTATTCGTGATCGTACTGTGCTATGAGAGTCATGTTGGATGTATCACGATGGTTAATGTCTCTTGGCATCACATCAAAGTCAAATTCAGTGCTATTTTGTGAATGGTGATCTTAAATAGAGAATATTATTCTTCCATATCGCTCTGTAAGAGACACGGGAGCACTCGAACAAAGACACGAGCGAGTGCGCAGTTATGATTCGTTGTGGTTTATGGGGCTCGAAAATCGGTTCTGAAACTTCAGTCATCCTACTGTTGCCATCTGATGAGGAGCCAAGCTGTTGCATTAGCACGGTTCGTGTTTATAGCTTGCCCGACCTTGCTGGCATGTTTTGGTCAAATCTCCGCATGTTGATTTGTAGGTATGGTGACTCTGCTCTTCACAGATGCTTAGACCAGATCTTACTGATTGGTCAACCCATAAAATCATGTGAATTGCCGTTCTGCTACATAGCTTTGCGACTCTTTGTATCCCTATGATAATTGATAACTTTTATTACGTCCCATTTCATTGCATCCGTGTCCTATATGGAGGCTTTGCTTGCTGTAAATCCTGGTAATTTCGAAAATCCGATAATTTCGTAAATCGAACTCCTGTCCCCTTGTCTGAATTTTTGTCACGCCATGTCGACATTTCCATTCGAGAGCTCATCATTGGTCAGTTCAATCTTGGATATTGTGACAAGGTTAATGCGCCTCCATAAAAAGCGCACCCAGCTTTTTGGAGCTGCAGCATGGCGAAATTCCTACATACCATGCTGTATTGTATCGTTAGAATGAGTGATTCTCGCCGTCCATCACGGCTGCTATCCTGGTCTCCTTACGCCTGCTGAGATTCGTATGCTGCCCTCCATATGTTGGCCAGCACCTCCTATCCCACTCCGTCACGGGGTGACTTAACCCGGGCAGCAACGTCCTAGCTCTACTCAACGCCCCCAGTCCCTCTTACATCAGTCGACTCTGTCCCTCCATTCCCGCCATAGATAACTGCCCCAGACTCTTGCTCCCCCCCCCCCAAAAAAATGAAAAGCAGCACATTTTCCATTCTCTTCCCTCCCGTCGCTCCCGACTAACCGTCGAGATCGACGGCGGCCATGATGTCGACGATCTCGGCGTCGGTGACGTTGTGGCCCAGCTGACGCATTACCTCGGTCAGCTCGTGGCCGCTGATGCTGCCGTTGTGATCCCGGTCGATCAGGTCAAACTGGTACCGCAGCGCTGTCAACCAGCCGTGGCGGTGGGACAGGTCACAGGGTCAAGGTTGTCAGCAAATCAGGGCGTGTGTGGCTTAGCATGTTTGTCGAGACCTTTTTTCATTAGACCGGCTTTGTTCACAATAAACTTTTTAAAGATTTGAGTGACAGAAATAGCATCTTTAACAGTGGCATGAATGAAAATATTGTACGTAACTATCAAAACATCGAAGCTGTATTCAGCTATGTCGACCAACTTTTACTTGCTAAAACCCTCACCAAGCTGTCGGCTGAATATAAGATGTTCGAGCTCACCGCTCCGACTCACCCTGACGTGAAGGCATGGCGCGGGTGCCCGTGTTCAGCTGGCTGCTCATGTTGCTGCTGTGGTTGCCGACCAACGACTGACTGTTCTTGACACACAGGGGACCTGCACTCTTCTGGGACCCGTCCGCCCCCACACAGGTGCTCAGACCGGGACGTCTATGTCTGGGTCGCTAGACATTCTAAAGACGAACAGCACGCCTCACGTCTGCCGTTTCCGACAGTTGGGGACGTGACGGATCGGTATGACTTTTCGGCGGCAGCGGTGGCCGCCGGCTGTGTTCGTTCCCGGAGTATATACTCGTTCCCTCCGTAATGGTCGTCTCCAGGTGCCGTCAAAGTGCCGCTGCTGCGCCACGAACGGCGCGGCCCCTACACATTGGCGCCGCAAACGGCCTCTGTGTCGCAGCTGGCGTCAAACGGTGAGCCGTCCCCCGCATTGATTGATGCGACTGTTCTCTGAAATATGTGTATTTTCAAGGCCAATGCCACTTCCTTCCTAAAATTTGTGGTACGTACTTGGTAAGCTTCTGCTATTTCTTGTATGGGCCAAACAGGAGCCGGCTTTTCAGTAGCAATTAGCAGCATGAAACAGCATAATGGCGCCTTATCACAATATAGCCGCGCGGCGATAGCCAATTGATAGACGGCTGGCGACTTGTTGGTGTTCGGCATAAGAAATATCTGCTCATTAGTTTATCCAGTGCATGTCTGTATGTTTGTTCAGATAATTTAGACAGATTCTGTTGGGTACAAGATCGACATTAGACAACTTAAAACAGTTTTTACTGGTATGGTTGTCGTTTTATATATGTACGCCTGATGGGCCATGGGCCCAAGCCCCTTACTCTACCAATAATGTTGATAAACATTAACCCAATTGTGTTCCGTGGTAAGAATAACTGCTATCCTAAAACCGGCCATTGGAGCCCAATCAATGCGTTTTTAATCTCGGGAAAGACTCCGTGGTGACCAGTGAGGTCATAGGATGTAATGAAATGTCTGATTCAAAACCTTTGATAAAGTTAAGTTTTTTTAGGAGACACCACTTAAAGCTCGGAATGAGCTGCGGAATCGAGCTACATGCAGCGTTGAGCGCAACTTCTCCAAAGTAACGTCTTTATCTGACCGGATTCGAGGTGTCCTTGACCTTCCATGACCTATTTACATTTTCCCTGAAAGAAGTATATTGCTCTATGTATGTAAGTACGTACAAAACTGGACAGGACAAATGCGATGGTATGCAAATCGTTCTATGCGAATATTTTTGTCAAAGGTCGCGATTATCACCTTCAAAGAAGTGATAATCGCGATAGAGTTTACTAACATGACATACCTTGAAGGCAATGTGAAGAATAAAACAAACATTTTAAATGGCGTGGTACTTTTTATTAAAAATCGTCTACACTTATCTTGAAACCGCTTATGATCACGTAGCGTTTCAGTCGTATTGCACGCATATTAGTAGGTCAAAATGGGGCAACGGCTCATTAACTTCCCGCCATCTAAAATACCTTTACAAAAAAAAAAAACGGCACTTGCCCTTCGCGCATACAAATTGCCAATCCAAAAACAGGGTCATTCCTCGACCAACGTGGCCTTGCCTCGACGGTCAACACCAAGGCCTCTTGTATCACTCAGGGCCCGTAGGTCTGGTCACTTAGCACTCAGGGGTGGCTCATCAGAGCCCAATTCCAGACACAACGGACAGCCTGCGGTGGTATTTCTACCAGGGTGGTTCGGCTGAGGGAACCATCCATACGGATCAGACTCGTCACAAAACACGAGTAACGGGTAAGGCAGTCCAACTCAAAACGACACCCGCTGACATAGTCTGAGCCAGGTGCGCGTTCTCAAGCTTACGCAACAACAACGGTGACAAATCTATAAAGAGTAACACCATGCTAACTTACAGCATAGCCATAGCCTACGTTCCCGTTGCAACAGTGTTCAAATCACCGTCTAGCAACGCTTGTGGCGTTTATGTACCTGTGCGTTGTCCCCATTGTCAGAAATACAAATTCCAAGATACGGGTCACATAATTACTGCGCTTGAATCTCGCACAAACCGGGCGTAACCATTTGCACGTCGGCCATTACATTTCGATCGACGATCACGCCAACACTTTGCATCGATCAGCAGCAGAAGCCATTCAAGCACGTGTCATCCTTTTAGTTTCCAAGCTTTGGCTTGGCTCGCGGCGCTATTTTAGTATGCTCCCCATTCCATCATAGGCTGTAGCCGCGGCCCGCGGATATAATTGCGCTTCTCTCTTAGCATCTTTCACAATCCTTCATCGGTAGTGAGCACAGCACACCGATCCATTAGATTTAACTGCACCTTTCAACACTAGCCACACCACTTCGCTGTTTTCCGCCCCTCTCCATCAGATCTTTTCCTTCCTTATCCAGCCTATCCACGTCTTAGCTCTCTCTTCTTCACCTTTCTCAGTCCTATCCACCCCTGTCCCCTCAGTTCTAACTCCTATCCTCCGCCCTCCTCTCAGTTCTCCTTTCCGTGTACGGGCGCGACCTCGACGACGGGCGGCGGCGCCGGCGTCACCGGCACGCTGACGCCGAACCGGGTGCCCAGCTTGATGCTGGCGTGCTTGAAGTGCAGCGTCATCTTCTCCTGGATGACGTTGATGCACATGCTGGTGAGCGCCAGGCCGAAAATCATGTAGAGAGTGGTGCACATCATCACTCCGGCCGACTGTGGGCAGAGCAGGCAGGCGTGAGGTCAGAGAGAGGGAGAGAGAGAGAGAGAGAGAGAGAGAGAGAGAGAGAGAGAAAGAGAGAGAAAGAGAGAGAGAGAGAGAGATGTCTGATTTAGGGAGTGCGGAAATATATCGAGGAATCCCTGCCTACCTACTGGGCAAGCTTATATCGAAGTTGAGGCCCGACATTAGCCTACTTAGGGTGAGTGACAACCCTCCTGCAAAACCAGTCGGTGAATATAAACCATACATTATAGCCGAGGCTGCTATGTCGCTCTCCCACGGAAAATCCAGTCGTTTACGATAATTTATGAGCAGGGGCGCGGGAACTACTTTCCGACTGGGGGGGCACACCATAATAGAGATTAACCTAGGGTACCCCCAAATCTAGTTTTCTCACCGGTTTTAGGCCACTTATTTTTCACCCCTCGGCTTTTTCAACAAAAAAAGAAAACATTTGCAAAAAAAGTGTGGTATTCCGTCTCAAAGCTGTGGGGGCACCGCCCCCACGGCCCCAGAGTTGGGGGGCAAGCTGCCCCCACTGCCCCCCCGGCTCCCGCGCCTATGTTTATGAGATATAAACTCTCCTTGGCCGCCCGGAAAGGTGCCTCTCGCGTCTGCCATTTTGTTTGTGGGTAAACTGCGGCCTGTCACAGCTGCGTGACGTCACCTCCGCCACCGTGACGTCACGTCACGCCACCTCGTGACCCCACGAATCACCGTCTGGGGTCCGTGACGGCCGGTAGCGGACGCTGTTTATGTACTAGAGGTGAGCTCATTCCTACCGCACGTGCGATACAAACGCTCCGTAGTTCAACATGGGGTATGATTTTTAGCGAGGGAACTCCTAGCGCGATATGGTGGCTTTTTCTGGTCTGTGTTCATGTGACTTTGTAACCGCAACGTGACTATGATTTTCTGGGAAGCCGGTTGCATTTGCAGTGCGCACTGCGCAGGTCAACACAACAGGTGCAGGGAATGCTGCTTGGAGCATAGTGGATAGTGACCCGGTGTGCCAACATTGTTTAGTCACTGTTTGGGATCCGTTCTACCAGGTGATCCGTCCGCGTCAGTAGCGAAATTGATGGCATGATAAATATTCATATTTTAAAACGCAAGGATAGGTACTATAAATAGAATATCTGTGTAATGAAATTCGTTGAGGAAATGATTAAATGATAATATTCAAATGCACATCACCTTTTCCCTCATCAGAACAAGCCTGGTCGAAAACTAACTAGGCAAGTCGACTACGGACTGCAGAATGATGTTCCATTCCTCAGAAGCTATCAGTTGACCGGAGCGCTAAGTTGTGCCGTTTATCACGCAATTAAGCGTGTCGATTGTGAGCATTGGGGGGAGACAAAGCTATAATTTGTGAACTCAGCCCGTGTGATGCGGCACAGCCTACCACTCCAGGCAAATAATTGCCTGTGAAAAGTGGAACATCATTCTGTAGTCGACTATACCCATCGCAAAAACATCTAAAGCAAAGCGCTTGCTATGGCACAGACGACAAAAAGCACGGGCGAGCTGCACAGAACTCTCAGCTCCAAGCGTTTCAATTCAATAATGTGCTCACTATCCACCGGGTCTCTCGTGTGCAGTCCCTCCCCTTCAGTGTCAAGTGTGTTCCTGTCCCACTGGTGCGCTTTTGGTGCGTGCTCGATTGGTGCGGTGCTGAGTGACTAGTGCGTTCATGTTACCTGCACGTTCCTCAAGTCCTGATTGTCCTGTCGCGGTAACCAGCGACTTTGGTCGGTCACCTAGGCGGAACAGATTAGTAAGATTAGATGGCACTGGCAGTGATCGGAATGATGACCGATGGATGAAGGAGCGATGCACGAATCGGTCCTTTTGTTAGGTATTTTGGAGGGTGGTTAGTGGTTAGTGATATTTTGTTCAAGTGTACCTATGCTGTGTAGTCTCGCACGCAATGACCTTTCCGCAACTTGTCGGTAACCCTTTTCAGCAATCTGTCGCAACCATTAAGCATGCCTCTTGACCTGCCACTGCCATCTCAGTCCTTTCTCTCTCCTCTCTCTCTCTCTCTCTCTCTCTCTCTCTCTCTCTCTCTCTCTCTCCTCTCTCCTCTCTCTCTCTCTCTCTCCTCTCTCTCTCTCTCTCTCTCTCTCTCTCTCTCCTCTCTCTCCTCTCTCTCTCTCTCTCTCCTCTCTCTCTCTCTCTCTCTCTCTCTCTCTTCCTTCCTTCCTTCCTTCCTTCCTTCCTTCCTTCCTTCCTTCCTTCCTTCCTTCCTTCCTTCCTTCCTTCCTTCCTTCCTTCCTTCCTCCCTCCCTCCCGCCCTCCCCCTCTCTCTCGCGCGCGCTCTCTCTCTCTTTCTCTCCCTCTTTTTTTCTCTCTCTCTTCAACCCACTACTGTCCAGCGTTCTTTCAAGTTTCACCGACCCCTCTCACCCGGGCCAGCCCCACCCGGATCCCCTCCCGGCCCGATCGGGACTTCACCGGCTCTCCCCCAGTAGCGCTCACAACTCGGTCACGGGAGGGTCGGGCCGATTGGCCCCACGGCACGATTAGGTGCAGTGTCGACAAAGCATGAACAGTGAGCACCTCTGACGTGTCGCGTTTGTCGCGGTCACGGCGCGATAGGTCTAATGACAGGTGCCGTTTGCCGGCTATAGTTAGACGACGTGACGTGGTCTATGGGGTGATTTTCTGGCCCATGATGTCATGAACTGCGTCGCGTTTTGTTTTCTTGTTGTTCCGCGATGAATAGGCGTGAAACGTGCGTATTAGTGGATGTCGGTCTTTACGTGGTAAGATGGGTGATGTTTCGCCGTTTCTAGCTCCGAATTCAAGCGGTATTGCCCAAACCATGATACCATAAGCTTTTCGACACGGATTTAAGGTGTTCTTAATCGGCACGCAACCTGATTTATTTCGTCCCTCTCCACACCCAACACCCCCTCTCGTCTCACCGAGGGCACCAGGTCGCCGAAGCCGATGGTGGTCATCGATATGAAGACGAAGTAGAAGGCGTTGAAGTAGCTCCAGTCCTCTGTGATGACGAACATGATGGCGCCGATGAATAGGTAGGAGAGCAGGATGAACAGCGCCAGCGACACGGGCAGGTTGAACTCGTCGTCCACCTCGACCACAGCCTGGGGTTCGTCGCCGTCGACCGCGGCGTGCCCCTCGCCCTCGGCGGCCGGGGAGTCCTCCCCGCCGAGCCCGGTCCGGTCGTACACCGCCTGGATGCCTTTCACCACGTTCTGCCAAGGAGGGGACACAGGTCACCAGTCGGGGTCGCACATGTCGGCAGTGCGGGGACATCCATGAGCTGGGTAATCCCGGTCAAAGTAATACGTTGGCGCAATATCCTGCATGGGAGATGTTATGAATAGGTAATGTCATGTCATGTCATGTCATGTTTATTTATATCGGAATCCACGTGCATGCGTTCACATTATATTTGATACATGTTGATGAAACTCTTCCAACACTAGGTAAATATTCTGATCGGTGCGAGTACATGCCTATCCACGTTTTAATCCTCCATCTACGATCCTGAATTAAGCTTCGTCCCAAACAGGTTAGGCCAAGGTCTTTTCTATCAATCTTCTGTCCAGCAAATTTAATACAAAACGAGTAATGGTAATTTTTAATCCTCATTACAATCACGTCCCGGAACAGGAAGCACCCTCGCTGCGCCTCGCCGTCTAACCGGTGACTTACCTCCACGGGTTTGGCCCGGCGCACTCTCGTGCAACTCTTGGTGTGGTAGAGACGATACGCGGCCGCCATCACAAACTTGAGGCCGCGCGTGAAGAGCTTGCCGTAGTCGGCCAGCACGATCAGGAAGATGGGGATGCCCAGGATGGCGTACACGATGCTGACCGCCTTACCCGCCGTGGTCGCCGGAGATAGGTGACCGTAACCTGGCGGCGGAGAGGCAGAGGTCAGGTGAGCCGCTTTGGGGTCAAACGCCAAATAAGGTTAGGTCGTATGTTAAACCACAAACCAATACGATAGGTATACGATAGACCAAAGTGAAGGCGCATAGGCACACTTGTAGGGATAAGCTAAGCCAATGGCACACGTGTGTCTGTGAATTTCGGCAATACAGATGTGCTGCGAGCTGATGCAAACAAGATAATAGCTCGAGCCGAATGTGAGACACATTCGAACCGTTATTTAGAAACAATAGCCTATTTTTAAGTATGCTCCGGCATGTTTTAGATTTTCACACATCCAGGGTTATCACTTTCCCGCTGTTGATACTTCCGATGTATTTTGTACGCCAACATGTAACCTTGCACCCATTTAGGCATATTCCGCGACCATCACCGGTCCGTGTCGCGGCCTGTGTGCCCTTGAGCGTCTGTCAGTCCCGTCGGTCCCGTCGTTCCGTCCCGACTGCCGTCGTTGGCACCGTGTCGGTCGCGACGCGCCGACGCCGCTGGGTCTGTGCCCGCCCGGCCGGATGCCGGTCCGACCAAACGACGCCGACGGTGCAGACATGGGTCCGACGGGCTGACCACCGACTGAGGGTGTGGTGCAGTAGGGGGAGGGGGGAGAGGGGCTCGGCCGGGAACGGCGGAAGGGATACAGCCTAGTTTGATTCGGCTCAGAAATGAAAAGGGATTAGTACGCTAGTGCAGCTCCGAAAAGCAGGAGCTACGGAGACGGCTCGGTACAAAACTGAAGGATTGGTGCTACATCATGCATGGCTTGGCATTCGAATAGTCTCGGGACGTCGTTAAGACATCAAAGTCAGACCGGCCAGCATGAGATTCCGAAGTAGTTACATAGGATTTATAAATTGTTGATTGAGCGTTGTGATCATGAATCTTTGGGAATGTTTATGTTCGCAGCCTTGTGCCAATGTTTCAGCGTAGTATCAAGAAGTAGGCAAAGCTGATGAAATGCAGCTTGAAATGTTGATTTGATTAGTCCATTAAAGCTCGCTCCAGTCTGCCCTGACCCTCCAGCGAGACCTCTGTCCTTCACCGAGGTCACTGACCTAGTGTGGTCACCACGGTCCAGGCGTACACGGCCCCGTTGGCGATGGTCCACATGCGCTGGCCGCTGGGCGAGGTCACGCCGCTCGTGTACGCCTCCAGCAGCTGCTCCTCGTAGCCCTGCAGGTGCTTCCTGGCCAGCGCGCGCCACGCCTTGCGGTCCAGCGTGTCCGACTTGCCCCACAGATCGTCCAGGAAGCGCAGCTGTTGGTGGCGCACGCCGCATTTGATCTGCTGCTCGAGGCCGCCCTCCAGGTAGGCGAAGAGCGCGCCGCCGCTCAGCACCAGCAGCGCCAAGCCGACCGACTCGACGGCGCAGATGAGCGCCTCGTGCGCCAGCTGCCGACGCACCGGCGCCAGCTCGTGCCACACCTGGCGCACACGGAAGGCCGGCGGTGGCGGCGGCGGCGCGTCGGCCGCCGCGGAGTGGTGATCGGACGACATCGCGACGGTACCGACGCGACACTCGCGGCGCCGCGACGCCTCCGGCGACTGGCGGATCCCGGAGGTCGTCGGTGGTCTCCCGACCAGCCGTCGGCGGCGGCGGCGCGCGCGCTATTTTCGGCGGGAACACTTGGCGCCGGCGGGAGACGGTCGTTGGCTGGCCGGTGGCCGCCCCTCGGGCCGGGTGTGGCGCCAGTGTGACCTGTCGCGGTGCGGCGGGCCACGGCTGTGACCCTGGCCGCTGTGGTCGCCAGCTGTGTGAGAAGTGGACGGCGCGGAATGCTGCAGCAATGTCGACGACGGAACAGTGCCCGCTGCTATTTAGGACATGGTCTCGGAGGGAGAGAGGATTATCCGTCGACTTGAGACTTAGATAGCTCGCATTCAATCGAGAGACGAATGAATGCGATGCAATTCAATCGCATCCGATTCTATCCGCACAGGAAATCCATGTGTGAAAGAAATGCGTTTCGCAAAGGTCAGTAACTCGACAGCTATGACGAATTGACGACTTACACACTTTTCCATACTGTACCTACTGCGCTTTTTCACAGAAGATTGCACGATGTACGTGCGTGGTTTATTTAGAGAAAGCAACGAAGGTGTGTTTGTGGTTCGTGGTTTCGTTACTCTCTTTGAATTCGATTCGCTTGCTCAGCTCGATTACGACTCTGGATCGTCAAACACCTTCTCAGAATTGTGCTTAGAATTATGCTCACCCGCCGCAGCCCCGCTGTCTGCTGCGGCGTCTGAGACTGAAACTGCGCCGTGTATGGGACTAAGATGTGCGCCGGCCGCCTGAGACTGACTCTGCGCCGTCTGGGACTGAGATCAGCGGGTCACGGTCGTTACTGATCACCAAACGGACATGACCTGACTACGCAAGCATGAAAACGCATAAATATGTCTGGTATGACCCTCCGGGGCGTCCAACACGGAACTTGGTGCGTCTCAAATCGCAATATTTCATATAGCAGACGGGTTTATCGATGGATCATCGAAAGACTTCACTGCCGGCCAACAGCTTATGCACAAGCTGTTATCAAAGTTTTCGGCCTGTCCGGGATTCCGCCACCTCCGCACCCAAGGAACTTTGTTCACACGATAGACTGGTGTTGAGATAGGACTCCGCTTGGATATCAACCGTTCAGTGGAACAATGCCAGCAGACATCTGTGGAAGATCAGTGAATTATCATACCCAAACTACACCGCACGTTTGAACTGTACCTCGATCAGCATATGTTCTCACTGTGCGCAATGGTCATGTGCCCTCAGCCGGACAGCGTGCAGCATCCTAATAAATGTGATGGCTACCAGGGTATATTGAGTTACAATGGCTACCGCCCTCTACTTCCAGAGACATTCATGGACATGGCGAGTCGTGACCACTGCCGAAGCTGTCTCAGGGGTGGCGCCTCGTAATTCATTCACAGTGGTAGTGGAAGGGAAAGGAAACTGGGAAGGAATACTGAACGAGATAGCGAGTGATTTAACTTTTACGTGTAGTGACTAAGAGTTATTACTCGCATGCCATCATTCGATGATTTCTGTCCTGATAAAGGTGTTTTGCAACCACATGTGTTTTCTTTTTGGAAAAAAAAAATCAAATCATTGTGTTACTGGCAATAAGAATTGCCTTTTGGGTGACAAAGGAGCGAGTGCCGAGTATCATTCTGAGCCCTGCACCCTTCTAACTGGTCTCTAACGGTGTGTCAAATTTTGAGTGCCATTGGCCCGGCTGTTGTTGAGCTGCAGGAGCGGTGCCTCAGTAACACCACAATTGTGACACATAAAGTTGCATCGCCGGTCGCCCTATGGATAACTACTGACAGGCCAAGTTTAGGAATAAAAGCTGCGCTTCTGTTGCTTCTGTTTTTGCTCGCAAAACCCATTACATATGCATTACGGCGCAATGTTGTTACGTAATGCGAACTTAATGCATAGCTTTTAAAAGTGGCATATGTAGGTAGTTCTTTATCAATGTCATCTTCACAAGTGAATAAATAATGCATGCCAGTAAAATGTTGCGTTTCACATTGTTCGCATCAGACCCGCTGACACTGTGTTTCTCCATTGTCAGGCTGATATCAGACATGTTGTTGCAGCGTTTCCATCATACCACACTCTGACAGTGTTGAATGCATATAAACACGGGCAATTTTACAAATACTTAGCTGCATGTTTGCCATGTTTATTGTTTATGCAAGGCAATAATCAGCAGTGTTGTGTTGTGTTTTGCGTAGTGAGCAAGAAATGACCGTATCGTGTTCGGTAAAGCGCAGCTGGACGAGCTCACTGCATGGTGGCATTTTTGCGGTCTGCGGGAGGTACCTATGCCAGCTCCGATAACATTTTGATGAGAATGTGAACACTATACATCATGGGCGGATCCAGAAAGGTGGTCTCAGACACTGCGGGAGGACGCCAAACCCTAAATACCTAAAGTTTCACCAAATAAATTCTCAGATATTGATTACTTATGCAATATGCACTACTGCGCAGATTATAGCAAATTTTCCGACTTAAAAGTTCGTTAGGTTTCTTTATATTTTAGAAAAACGGCAAATACCCCAATTGCCACTCCCCTTGATCCGTCAGTGCCATACACTATTAGGTATAGTTTTTTTTTACCTGGGTTCCAAGAACCGAAAATACACCTAACAAAGAAATGACAATTTAGATATTGGGTGGGTACCGATTTTAAGATCTTTTACGCATAACATATTCTATTGTGAGAGGTTACGGACACATTTCTGTTAAGCTTGATATCGATAGCTTTAAGCAAATATAACAATGCAGCGTGATCATTCGTTCACAGGCTAAGCAGTAAGCATGCCAAGATCAACTGATATCTAAATATTTCAGGCAATATTGTGGGCGATAATGCTAAAAGGTCCTCATCCACTTTTGCTGCAACAAACCCCATTTAAAATTGGCCGCTCTAAGCCTTTATCCTGAAGGTGCTGAAAGCATCGAACGTGTTCATTCTAGTCGGGTGTGTTAGCTTTTGAAGTGCTTTTATAGGTCGTCAGGTTATCCCCGATTTGTGGCAATCGGTGATTATCGCGCTAACATCTTTGTATCAAGCCATACGAACAGAAACGGTCGGGAAATTTCCTCAATCTAAGATAAAACTTGACTGATATCACTGATGCACCGTGCACATTGAGCATACTGAGCACGTGCGCGCAAGGTCACTGCACGAAGACGCGACCATCCGGCCTGCGGTGCAGACTGCACAAGTGAACAAGCAGCGTGCAAGACTGCTCAGATTTTACAACGCTTAAGTATGGTGTCCTAAAGTCCACTTCCTAGTCGATGCTGATTAACATGATGGCTTCGCAGATTCAATTTCGTTTGTAGTTAGGTTATGCTCGTTATTTTCTTTGTACTTTGTATCACATCTTTTTTGAAGTTGTATCACCCATTTGCGGCAATTATAATTCTGCCATTCTGCCAATTTTTCCGGCGCTTGTCTGGTGACTCAGTGACGCTCAGTGACGCGCTGCGTCCCTGACCATGAGCCATCAGTGACACGGTGTGGGATGTTATATTATCAGTAACACAGGCGGTCTCCATGCATCGTCATGGGAGAGTACCCGGAAGAAACCCTCGGGTCATTGCTCCCTGCAGTCAGTGGTGTGTTGTTCCATGGGGGAAACCAGGGTCATGTTTTGCACCCAAATGGATCACAACAGGTCACCGCTCTGGAAAAACTTCGCACATGGTGCTCTACAAATAGACACAGTGATCTGGACGCATTGATGAAATGAATACATACTGGTAATGCGTACTCTATATTGACACCGATGCATAAGTTGTCGTTTAACGAGTTTATGCGGCTGTATATGTTTATATCGACGCAGCATTCATCAGTTTTAGAGAAAACTGACTGCACACTACTACCTTACCTTGAAGGATAGATCAAGTGTGTGGACTCAATGCTCCAACGTCTCGTTGAACTAAACGCAATGAAATGTCAGTGAACTGTCAATGCTGGACACAAACCATATTTTGTCCTTATTCACCCGAAGTTGAAAAGTAAACATACCTAATTGTTAGACCCGATGTCTTTATTTGTTACTTCTTTCAAGGCAATTATTGATTTCTTTATTATTTCACTCGATATCTTCAGCTTATCTATCGTAATGCAAAAGATAAAAATTGTGTTCATATATAGATGATGAACTATGAATTAATTAATGAGCGACGAATGACAGATGCCTGCCACAGCAGCCCGCTAGCGCAGAAATGGTCCAAGCACCCGTCGTTGTTAATTGCATTCAAAATGAACTACCGACGTTATCACCCCCAGCGACCATCGAGGAAAGCATTGACGACTTGCCTTGTTTCTTTGTGGCACTAAAAGAGACAATAAATCAGTTTATTAGTACCAGAGTTATTGCTTCGGCCATTATCTGACGTTAATACTGTTGATGGTAGCACATCAATGGCTGGCTATGTTGGGCCAGTTGTCACGGAAATCGATCCAGCGTCTGCTCTAAGTCGTGCTCAGATAATCAGCCGTTTCCCGTTTGCATTGGCTTTTTCACGATGGAATATTGGGGACCTACAACATATTTGGTTGAATTTGAAAACAAAGAACCAAAGCAAGCGACAGTTTATGCTAAAATTGGAAACTCCTTTACTAAACAACTACTAAAATTTATGGTACCAAACGAATCAAACGGACCAACTATGTATGTAGGTGTCCAGTGCTCTGTCGTGAAAAGAGCTACTGTGCAATAGGAGCTAGCCCGCGAAGCAAATGGAAAATGTGGGACCTTGTCTTTGTGGAACTGATACAAAGCGCAAGGCATCAACTGTGTCAGGGTCATCCACTCGGGAGTGATGTAATACGTGTCCTGCGGGATTATCTTTGTAAAGCTGGCCATTTATAACGCCAGCAAGGAGGTCGCTTCTCGCAGGTGAGCTTCGCATTGCTCGTTGCTATGCTCGCTGCCCCAATGCTGAAGTTCGAGAGATTTGCGCTAAGATAAGGTAAAGGCTTAGACCTTTAAAATGAAATTTCCGTGTTGATGCGTAC